GAATCCTAACCTACCCGTTCCAGAAGTTGCAAGCCGACCGTCTAGTAGAGACGCGCGAGAACCCTCTCGCAGCCCACAGCCGGCGAAGTTCTCTCTCAAGTCTATTGCCAATCAGCTAGGTGACACTGCTTTCGCAGACTTGAAGGGGTATGTGGTACAATTCCGGGACCCAATTGAGATTGCCGCCGAAAGTGCAAAGCCACTTGTTGGAACCCCACTCTCAGAATGGATGAGGGCAGCCTTGTGGTGGTTTTTGCGTGGAAAAAAGAGACTAGAAGCCTATGCGCGATCGCGCCCTTCGAGTTCGAATTCTGGTGTCCGGTCACCCCAGACTCGACCCGCAGAGAGCGCGAAGCAAGCGGTCGTTGATCTCGCCAAGGCATTGTGGATTACCGAGAATATCGTCCCTCAACATGAGGAGCTGGCTCGATACGGTTCAATGAGCGTGGATGCTTTGCTTGCTGTGGCAAGTACGACTGGCAACAAGGAGCTGGCAGATCTTCTAAGCCTGAGTCAAACCATATCGAATCACTTGCGGTCGTTGGCGATGTCTATCAAGAGGAACAATATTCTGATGACTCTGGCGCAGGAAAGTTCTCCGAGTGACATTGACAGCACCGTCTGGGTTCAGTATCCTGCTTTTGCGCCCGATGTTGCTGCGATTTTATCGGGGACGGCGACGAAATCTCTCCTAGTTGACACCTCTGGGAAAGCACACAGCTTCGTGCAGATGATGCCACTTGGCGATACAAACCGCTATTTCAGCTATGGAAGCATGTTTGTTGACGTCTGTATCACATCGAGCGACGATGATGACAAGCAACATCCTGTACCATGCGCTTTGTCCATCATCCGGGATAGGGCTGACTGGTACGTTTTTGCGGCCATAACTAGCCAGAGCGATCTGGTCAATATCGTGATACAATCCGATAAGAAGAACGGTCCTACGTGGGAAAGTGTTAATTGGCACGTCCGGTCACACTCAATGCGCGTTAAGCTTCCCCGCGGCTTTGAGTTACATGTTCAATTCCAGGAAGAGGATTTTAAGAACATCTGGAACATTGTTCAGTACACCTCCAAGACCGAAGCGAGTCTCAAGCCAGAGAAAAACGAGACATTAATTTACGAGAATACCCTCAAGACTTTCCGCTACATTGACTCTGTAACTCCCAAAGCCTTCCCTTCCGAGCCTGTGGAAAGATGCCGCATACGCCTCTTCGAGAGAACTGTGCCGTTGACTGAGGGCACAGGCCAGCGTATGCAGCACCAGGGCTTCCGGATAGCGATACTTACCAGTCCGAAAATCAAGACTCTGAGCAGTGTGCGTCACATTCTCGGAAGTGGCGCCCCTATAGTCTTTGGCCTTCTCCGTGGTGACGATGGGGCACCTGCTCTTCTTCTGAAAGTCAAGGAGGATGGCAGAACCAGGTCTATGCTGATGGCATTCGAAGAGCTCGAAGAGCGAACAATGTTGCATTCTCTCCTGCTGGGAATCCTTCCGCAGGAACGGGAAGCGAAATCATCGGATATCTCTATTCGGGCCTTTACACTTGAGCAGCCCGCGGATCGAGCTGCGGGAAAACCCGCTAAGGAACATATCCAATTCCCCGCTGGCACGATCTCGATCATAGATGAGCAGTATACACGACCGGATCATGGTTATGGCCCTACCGTTCTTTCGGAGCATTTGCGTGCCTTCATCGCGACGGAATGGGGTTCGGTTACGGACCGTCTCAATCTCGGTACGTATGTGGATTTGATGAACTGGTAACATGACTGACGTATTGCAGGCCCTGGTGAGTTGAAGCTTGGCCTTGATGTCAACAATCGAACAGGCCTTAGCCTATATCGACCAGGCCAGAAAGATCTTACTGTTTCCGTTGCGGAGAACATGGTCATTCCCGAGATGCCTGATAAATTGACCGACTCTCTCTCCAAAATTATGGCAAACCCGACGATTCGACGCTTCGACTTTGCAACCGTGCAAGGTACGGTTCCTACACTCCTGGCAGCATGAACACCAATTGATTGTCGTTTTAGATCTCCACACATTTCAACAGGCCGTGACAGGGTTCAGGGTGCTTTTTGATAGGTAGATTCCCAGAGAGCCTTTCTCTCTCTTTTCCTCCGATGCTGATGGAATAACAGTGTGGCCTCATCATTCGCCATATCACGGCGTCGTATGGTGGTTCCCATCACCAAGAAATGGGAATCGAGCCTCGCCCGGGTCCAGGTCATCCGTCGGGACAGAGTCGTGCAACTTGTGGCTTTCCTGAGCGATTTCCAGTATGGCAGATGCATGAACTTCGTTCTCAAGGGCACAGACACTCTCGAACCGTACGGCAAATCCGGCAAATTCGGCGTCCGCATTGTCGATGCTAAGTTTGCGTTGCCGAAATCCGACGACGATCCTGCCTCCAACTTTGTCTCTCTGGATACACCGGATTATCCAATGGAGCATGACGATATCTCGATTGCCTTCGACTCTGAAGCAGGTATGTATTCGATCTTTCTCTTCAAGCGTTTGTCCTCTGTTTGTCTAGGTATCTAATTCGCCGGGGTGGTGTTGTGTAGACCGGACCAATTTCCAATCCGCTGTTCCAGGCTCCGTCCGTGAACCATCCCGGATGGGCTCGCTTCGCCGATAATCCATAAGCCCGACAGTTCCTCCCCACTCAGACCCGAGACAACTCCTTTCGTTTCCAACCTCTTATCTGGTGTCGGAACCGCGTAAACTCACGCCATCCCAGCTCCACCCCGCATCAGTCACGTGTCGACTCACCGCCATGGAGAAGCTCTTTTCCTCCCCCACTTTTGTTTCAAGTCACCGGAAGGGCGTGCCGCAGTCCCCGGCTTTGACCTGCCCCCCTCTCTTCCCCAAACCGCCCTTTTCATCCATATTCCCTATTATCAACTAAGCTCCTGTGTGACATAGCACATAGTCCTCTGCTAGGGCTGTCATTGCTACTTTCTCGTGGAAAGAAAAGTACAAGATGGTTCCTGCAAATCGAGAAATGGGAACTTCCACGCGCTCACTCCATGCGGATGATGCGCTAAATGTGGTTTCAGACGTTGCTCCTCCAATTCACGTTGCCACTACTTTTCGGTACTCCGATAACCCCGACGATCTTGTGCCTTTCGCAGACCTTACAGGCGACGTATGTCTCGAGCTACCCGTATGAATCTCTCTGGGCGCTTCTAACAGTCATGCCGCAATATAGAATGAGCGGGACAAAACAGCACACATATACTCGAGATTGTCGGCTCCCAGTTCTACACGCTTTGAAGCCATTCTCTCATCCCTTCTCAATGGCGAGGCCATCAGCTACTCTTCCGGGTTGTCAGCCCTGCATGCTGCCCTAACGCTGCTCAACCCTCGCCGTATCGCGATCGGAAATGGCTACCATGGGTGTCACGGTGTGATCGCGCTTTTCAGCCGCGTAACTGGACTTCAGAAGCTGGACCTCGACTGTCCCGCGGAGCAATTAGAAGCAGGTGATGTAATCCACTTGGAAACGCCGGTGAATCCCGAGGGAACCGCATTCAATATCGAAACATACGCCAAGAAGGCGCACTCGCGAGGGGCGTACCTTATCGTCGACGCTACGTTTGCACCTCCGTTCCTCCAAGATCCGTTCAAGTGGGGCGCCGATCTGGTCTTGCATTCGGGGTCCAAATATTTTGGGGGTCACAGCGATGTTCTATGCGGTGTGCTTGCCACTCAGCGCGAGGACTGGGCTAAGCAGCTACTTCAGGATCGGATCTTCCTGGGCAGCGTTATGGGGAATATGGAGAGCTGGCTGGGTGTGAGGAGCCTGCGGACTCTCGAAGTGCGGGTTCAGCGCCAGAGCGAGAACGCGACCAAGCTTGTTTCGTGGCTACACCAAGCGCTTTCCGACCAAAACCCTGCTTCTGGTAGCGACGAGGCTTTGGTTCAGGCAGCTCTTGACAGTGTGCTTCACGCGAGTCTGCAGAAGGAAGATGAGTCGTGGTTGTTGAAGCAGATGCCTAATGGATTTGGACCTGTCTTTTCGATCATCACGAAGACGGAAGATTACGCTCGCAAACTTCCTAGCAAGCTTGCTTTCTTCCAACATGCTACTAGCCTTGGAGGAGTTGAAACGCTTATTGAATGGCGGACTATGTCGGATACCACGGTCGATCGCCGGTTGCTGCGGATTAGTGTTGGTTTGGAGAATTGGGAGGATCTTCGCCAGGACTTGGTGACTGCATTCAAAGCTTTAACCGAGAGCAACTAGATTATGCGATAAGAATAGAAAGTAATTATTACGATCAGTATTTGTGTGTAATAAGGAATAAGGGTGCGCAATGCGTACTGTGTAGTGAGCGGGGCTGCTTATCGCCGCCTCCTTTGCCGCGGTTCTTTTATCTTTCTCTCTCTCTACAATTAAGTTGCATATTGATCTGACAACCTCACCTCCGAACCGTGCAAACAAGACCACTCAACCCTAACAGCTCCTCACCCGAGTCAAGTTAACCACCTTCTTCTTCTCTCCAGCCAGGTCTCTCTCTCTCTCTCTCTCTCTCTCTCCATTTCTCAAAATTAAACACAACCTCACACCTACCCATCCATCCATCATACACACACATCGAGATAAAAGCAAACGAGAAGAAAACCAATCAACCCACTAGCAACAATGTCAACCTTCCAGATCCACTACTTCTCCACGGCCACCAGCTACACCGGCAAGCAGACGGAGCGCCTGCCCGCGCCCCTACCCCTCGACCAACTATTCCCGCTCCTGGAGGCGCGGTACCCCGGCATCACGGCGGCAGTACTCCGCAGCTGCGGCGTCAGCGTGCGCGAGGAGTACGTCGATGTCGAGGGCGAGGATGCGCGCACGGTGGTCATTGGGGCCGGTGATGAGGTCGCGGTCATTCCGCCGGTTAGTTCGGGGTGAATATTTGGTGTAGGTATGTTCTGAGACCGAGGTCTTTGGGTTGGGGTCAGGGTGTGCCAGGTGGATTGGGGGGTAAACTTATGGCCGATTATATTGGTTCTAGTTTTGGTTGGACTATGTTATTTGTTTTTTTGGGGGTGCTGAGCTGGTACAGTATATATAATTCCGGGGCGTGGGTGTATTAGCTGGAGTATTAAGGCTGGAAATAGAAAATGGGAAACAGAACAGAATCCAAAGTACACGAGTGGAAGGACGGTGGATGAAATGAAGGGAAACTTGAAGGCAGGAGCGATATCCAAATGAGAAACCTGAGAACAAGAAAGGTCCACCGTTGTGGTACAGTCCAAACAAACAAACAAGCATTTCTGCACATCAACGCCACTGTTACCACCACCAGCAGCAGCAGGTCAGCATTACTTATCTTTGCATCTTCACCCCATGAATCCATTGCGCAACAGCATTTCATCATCCTCTACCCCTCCAACTTCTCCACCCCAGCCGCCTTCTTCTGTCGCCAGAGAACGATCCCACAGATCGCGGAGAAGAAGAACATGATACTAAGGTATCCATCGTTAGCCCAAACCAACCCCCATCTCTATCCCTCACGACAAGAGAAAGGGGACCAGAACGCACCATAAAGCAATACTCAACCCCCAAATCGACTTGGCCTCCAAACACACCGCCTTGGTCGCCCCGATCCAATTGCTGTAGTTGACTTTCCCATCCAGATGGTCGAGGTAACTGCTCAGATGCGTGGCAAAGGTGTAAGCCGAAGAGTTGTTGTTGTTGCTGCTGCTGCTGCTCCCGATCTTCGTGCATTGCAGGTACGACAGCGGTTTGCCCAGGATGACGGCCACCACGATCACGGCGATGAGGAGCAGCGTGTCCAGGACGGCGGCGGCCAGGAAGGGGAGGATGTTGTCGTAGTAGAGGATTGTGGTGATTAGAGCGTAGATTACGGCGATGCTTGTCTTTTTGATGGGGTCGTTAGTTCTGGGTGTTTTGGGTAAGGGGTTTGGGAAGGCTGGGGGGGGGGGGGGGGAAAGGGAGGAACTGACAACTGTGATGGTGCCGATGAAGATGGCTGGGGGGGTGGCGTTGTTGGACACGATTTCTGAGATGAAGTTGGCTGTGAGGCCGATGATGGTGATCAGGCTGCACATTTGGATCAGGCGCGCGATTAGGAAGGTTGCGCCTAGGAGGCCGTAGGGGGGCATTTTGTTGATGGTTTGGATTCTGTGAATGTGGGTGTGCTGGTGTATGTATGTGTCTGTGTGCTCGAGGTCGCGAGGACAAGGTCGACTTTGGGCTGGACAATGATTATAAGGTGCTTTGCAGCGAAGGAGTGTAGATGTGAATAGACACAGTCCGGACAAAGGAAAGAAAGTATGGAGAGAAAGTATAATAAATAAGAAGAAGGAAAGTGAAGGCAAGGAGGGTGTGAGATACTCTGAATAGACTTATTGACTCAACTTGAGAAGTATCCGGTTGAGACAATGAGGCCTTATATACTGTGTACATCTCCCCATCTTGTCTCATCCTGCTCCCATCCCCAAACGATCAACGATCAACGATCAACAAAAGAAGCTCGGGTCTAGACCACCATGCCATACTGAGCCTCTCATTGCCCTCTGCTGCAGCGCCAATGGTCGACTCGCATGGGTCCAGTCGAATGCTGAGCCGGGAAGCGAGCGCTTACAATCTCGATTGGCATCCACCCTGGCGCGTAGCGATCTCCCTTCTCCGGGACAGCCGGCCACTCCTAGCCAACAGCCACCAGAGCTTATTTCGACCTGAGACAACCGTCTGTCAAGGACTGGCGCTCGGGAAGGTAGCTTTGTTACGGAGACCTTTGCCCTGGTGAAGCGCTCCCTGGTCTGTTTGCACGCATGGGCCCTAGCCATTTGCCTGTGATAGCGATACTGGATCAGAACTGTCTGTCGGATCTTATTATAGATGCAGACACACGGAAGCGTCTGCATGCAGATCTGTGTCGCCAGATCCCTGGATTTCGAGCCGCTGTCCCGCATCTCTATATTAAGCATGGGGGTCAGACCCTGGCCCTGCGTAGATGAGGCTAATTCGGGGACTGGCCGTTGTTGGTGGTATGTCAACGTGACTAACGCTAGATGAAATACTCTGGTCCCGCTTTCGCACGAGCCTTATTCCCACAATGACAGGGTTGGCTCGCTGAACTTGCACCATATGCACGCGCTGAGGTTGTCGGTGGGTGTTGGTTGGCCCATCCGTACAGCAAGTCTTCTGAAACCGCTGTGGCTATGTCACGCCAATTGATGCGGGAAATGCTTCTGAGCCTGATCTAGGTACTGGGAAATGCTATTTGCAGCCACTATTCCGGTGGTGAGTTGATACGTATGCCCATCGGCGGCGATAGGGCCACTCGATCGCTAGCAATTGTCCTCATCTGAGGCTGTCCGAGGCGATGCTGCATTCAGCTTGACTGTTATGTCCTCAAACATGGGCCCAGTCTCTTCTGGTGGTAGCGCGCAGTTTATGTGCTCGTTGCATTCTTTGTGTCGAGACCGCCTTGGGATGCCAATCTATGGGATTGGTCAAGTTAGTCAACTCATGTTTCGCAGAGAGTGAGGTAGGTGAGACCAGAAGATCGCTAGTGACTGGGATCGTCGGTCTTCGTATCCACTAGTCAACACGCTGGACAAGGTATTTCCCTTCACTTCATCGAAGCAGAAGGATAGCATGCAATTGACCTCGACTGGCACTCAGATCATGCTGTAGGGACTTTGGCACAGAGATTGGCAGTGTAGTGAGTATACGGAAGCGAGCCAAGATAGTGAGCTCGCTTTCGAGGAAAGACTATCAATGAATAATTTCCTGTTTGAGGTTCATCCTGCCCTTGCAGTGTCCAGATGTGCTGTATACATATGTACCTTGGAAACATCTATGCACTGACTAATCATTGATGGCAAACTGTCTGACCGCCCAAGCGGTGAGTGGCAAATGCCGGCATTATCAGTGGATTTTTCGGTGTCGGGGATTTGCCGCCGTGCGCTCTTTCCCTCCTCCTGCCTCTCAGATACACCTGCTCTGCGATTGTTGGGCATGTATGATGGGTGCTCCAGAATGTCCTTGCTACTCTCCAAGGCGAGAGTCTCGCAGAGAGTGGCTGGTGTGAATCGCTATGCCTCCAACCTGAAGCTTGTCCGGACCTGCGGGATCGCAGCATCGCGTGCCTCCCCGAGATTAAGTGTCAGCAATCCCACTAAAGACTATCTTATCATCCAACGGCGACAGTTCAGTCTAGGATCCAAGGTAAAATAATCCATCCGAATGCTTTGCTTACTCCGGTGGTTAATCGCTGGTTGTCTAGTGTCTCTCTCCTCAAGACCATCCTCAAGACTATGAACCGTCCAAACCGACGGCTTCAACTCAAGGCGACGACCTGCTGCAATCGGCGCTTTCACTCGAGAATCTTCGGCTGCGACTCGAATTTGAGAAGTACGGAAATGTTCGAGAGTATCTGCAGAAATGGCAAGACAGCCAGGATAATTGGGCGGACCCTGTCCGAGGACCTGGAACCGCCAACAAGATGCTCGCGACCGATGCCTGGAGAGGGAACATGCTGAACGACAACCGTGAAGCTATGGATGCAGGATTTGATGTCTTACGAGAGTCAGACGATGATGCGGAGCTCCACAACAGAGACGATGAAGGCGCGGGTCTGAATCACTACCTGGAGCCAGGTGACCTTGTGGCCATGTCAGCGTAAGTGAGCTCCGAAAGTTCTTCATTTCTGCAATAACCTCGCTGACGTCCCCCCTCCAACCGCACAGGTCTGATGGGATCCTTATTTACGCAATCTACGTTCGCTCTATTGCCAAGCAGCAGCAATTCTACACGGATAGAGGTAAATGGCGCATCGGTTTCAAGAGGGACCTTGAATACGTCGTGAAGGGATTCGTGCCGCGGGAAATGGTGGCGCCCCTTCTGCCTCACTTCCCCGAAGATCTTGCTGCGATGGGTAGTGAATTTCAGTCCACTATCGAGGGCGGAGTTCCCAGACATGCGGGAGCTCATCTCATCAAGAAGATCCAAGAGTTCGACTTGGGCGTGCGGGACATCTACCGCAACAACGCGCTACGGCTGGACAACCTCCACGACTTGGTGGCAGACGACGAATCAAACTTGTTATGTACCCTCGAGGAACTGGCCTGCAAGGCTCTGGAAATCGAGGAGGACCAGTTGGATCCAACGTTGCTTTTCCTCATTCATCGGTGCGTCCACGAGAACTCGTTCCTGATCGATTATGACCGGAGCTCTCTTTTCGTCAACCATTACCTAGTCAGACCTCGACGTGTTGCCCGGGTGATCAATACCGTCTGCACTTGGGTGCATGAGCACCAAGATTATATTGTCAACTCAGCCCGTGGCAAGGACACCCCCTATATCCGCAACCATCCTCTACAGCAATTTCTTTTAAAGGCTCAGCGTCTCATTCGGCAGAGTCGGACTGTGCGTTCCCCAACCACCGTGGCATGCGTGGGCCCAAGCGCTGTACGAGTCGAGCCCAAAGAGAACGCTAGCCCTGCGATATACCGTGAGGTTCCCACCGAAAAGTTCAACGACGATGATCGTGTCATCATAGAATACTTGCAGCATTGGTGCCTGCCTCCTCGGCGAATGACAAGAGGTCATATGCGGTCCGCGGGGTCGCATATCATGCGCAGCACCGGCATGTACAGCGCGGTGGAATTGGGCCCCGCGACAGCCACGCTCTTCTTGCAGGAGCTGGGTGTATTCCATCCTTGGGAGAATACACGTCTTCTCGACCATCATCTTGCCCTTCCCGGGCATGGGGTCTCTCACGAAAGCGATAATCTGTGGGCTAGAGTAGCCGGAGAAGCCCAATTGCTCGCGGACAAGAGCCAACTCGAAGATTCCATGGAGGATTTGCGGGTTGATTGGGGTGATCTGCAAGTTTACTGTGTAGACGACGTTAGTGCAAAGGAGATTGATGACGGTGTCTCACTCGAGCGCATCCCCGGATCAGACGACACTTTCTGGATTCATATCCATGTTGCCAACCCCACCGCATTCTTGGATCACGAATCGAGCATCATCAAGCGGGCCGCCTCTCGAGCCGAGAGTCTTTACGTCCCTGAGCGTAGTTATCCCATGATTCCCGACTCCGTGACGCAGAAACACTTCAGTTTGGGCCCGAACCGTCCCACGCTCACATTCAGCGCCAAGATGAATCTCCAGGGCGACATTCTGGACACTAAGGTTGCAAACGGTACGATTCGGAAAGTAACATACATAACTCATGACCGACTACGCCGCATCTTCAAGCCAGACACCGAAGCCAACGATAGCACTCAGAACCTATCCGTGGGAGGAGAATTTCCCGAGCGAATCGCTGGTCGTAAGGGAATCACAGAGACGCTTACTCCTGAGGATGAGGAAACCTTCCACATTCTCCGTCAGTTGATGGCGGGCTGGCGTGAACGTCGTCGTGAAAATGGAATGCTGGAATTCCACTACCCGCCCCGAGTTTCCGTTTCCATGTCAGTTGGCTCCGTTGCTCTACCGCCGCGAAAGCTGGAAGCTACCGAAGGCCGCTATGTCCTGGGCGACCCGGTGATCCGACTCCGCCATCACAACATCGACCTACAGGCGGTCCGCGACGATACGACCGACAACCTGATCTCTCTCCTCATGAACTTGGGATGCTGTGTTTCCGCCTCCTGGTTGTCGTCGCGCAACATCCCCGCCGTCTACGACGGCACCCAGTACCACCCTGAGTATCGCAAGCTTACGCGGGAGAACATGGAACAAGTTGGCGGCCAGGAATGGCTGAACCTGGCCTCCCCCACGGGCATCTCGCTCTCCCGCCCCATCCGGCACGTCTCGCTCGGCCTCGACGCGTACGTCAAGTCCACCAGCCCGCTCCGTCGCTACAGCGACCTGGTAGCCCACTACCAGATCGAGGCAGCGCTGCGGTTCGAGCATGCCCACAACCGTCATCTGGACGCCGCCGCCGCATCCGAGACGGAAGGCCGCTCCGTCCTCCCCTTCTCCGCGGCCGACGTAGACCGCTGGCTCGCGCGGTCCCTGTCGTTGCGCCTTCGGCTGCGCGAGACCGAGCGCGCCTCCATGCAGTTCTGGGCGTGTCTGCTGTTCTTCCGCGCGTTCTACTTCGCCGAGTCCCCACTGCCGGCGACCTTCCAGTGTCAGATCAGCAAGCGCTATGATCAGGCGGACCTGGCCAGCACGTTCCAAAGCAAGGGCTGGAACGGCGTCCTCTCCGCTTTCGGCGTCCGGTGTCGGGTTCTCGTGCCCCCCAGCATGCCGGACGCGGACCAAGTGGATGTCATGAGTCTGGTGGAGGCCAAGGTCACGCTTGTCGATATGGACCGGATGCTGGTCGTCGTGGAGGCGACCCGGCTGATCTGTGGCTCGCCTGCGCAGTCAATGTTGGGGGCGTATAGACCTACCATGGCTTAGCGGGATGTGTGTGTGTGTGTGTGTGTACAATCTGGCTTCTGGGTGTATATTGTTTCATGTCATTGTGCACCATGTAAGATAAATAGTATACCATCTCTCTCTCTTATTTTAGCGACGTCTGTACAATTGTCTTTTGGAAGTACTCTGTAGGTGTATTTGCGTAAGAGATATCCACATGCTGGACAACATTCTATAACAGTCAACCACCCGGAAACTCGGTACAATACCATTCCTTACATATTCAAATATATTCAACAGTGAGCCCCACGTATGCTCTGAGGGAGATATACAGCCAAAAAGCTACCTAATCAAACCCATCAACTCAAGCACCAAACACCTCCTTAACGAGCGTCTTCTTATTGACTGCAACAGAATTAGCCACCGCCCTCAAGAAGAAGAAGAGAAACAAAAGAACAGAGAAGATAGAACTGGGGACATACCCTTGCCCATGGCATTCCGCGGAATAGGTCCACTCAGGACCTTCATCTCCTGCGGCAGCTTGTAATTCGCCAGCCGATCCTTCAGGGCGCGCCGCATGTCCATGGCGCCCCAGGGCTTACCGTTCCGGCCGCCCGTGTTCGCGACTTCCGGGTTCAGCACCACCACGGCCGCGACCTTCTGGCCCCATTGTTCGGAGGGGAGGCCCACGACCGCAGCTTCTGAGATTTGAGGGCTGTGCCGCGCAGCCAGAGGGGTTAGCTTGGGTTGAGGGGGAAGACTCAGACCCAGGGTTGGGTCAAGGGGTAGTATACGTACAGCGAAAGCAACTCGCGCTCGACCTCCAGGGCGCTGACCTTCTCGCCGCCGGTCTTGATGATGTCGACGCTGCGGCGGCCCTGGATGAAGTACATGGGGCCCCGGGCCCAGTCGCCACTGGCGCCGGAGCCGGCGGCCTCGACGAGGCGGCGGGTCGCGACGTCGCCCGTCTTGAACCAGGCACCCCGGGTATCTTCGGCGGGCACGAAGGACTCGCGCGTGGCGGCGGCGTTGGCCCAGTACTCCTGGAAGATGGTGGGCCCGCGGAGCTGGATCTCGCCCTCGCGCTCGCGGCCGGTGCGCGGGTCGATCTCCTGGCCCGGCCGGATGACCTCGTCCGTGTCCGTGTCGACCAGCCGCGCCTCCACGGACGGCAGCGGCCAGCCGACGCTGCCGTCGACGCGGTCGCCGACCGCCAGCCCGCAGCTGATCGCCATCCCCACCTCCGTCATCCCGTAGCGCTCCAGCAGCACGTTGCCGTCGCTGAGGGCCTGCCACGCCTGCTTCGTGGGCGTCGGCAGCGCCGCGGACCCTGAGATGTTCAGCCGCAGGTTCGCCGGGCGGATGGCCGTGCGGGCCGCGGTTTGAACCTCCGGGCCGAGGGTGGGGAAGGACGAGAGCAGGCGGTTGTAGATGGTCGGGACGGCGGTGAGGAAGGTGATGATCTCCTTCTTCTTCTTCTGTGGGTCAGGCACCGACTCCGGAAGGAACGGCGCGGCGAGCCGCTTCCACACTGCGTCCGTGTTGAACGGGAACATGAACTCGATGGACGAGCCCGCCAGGACCGGCGTCACGATCGCGTTGACCGTGCCGTGGATGTGGTGCAGAGGGAGCAGGTGGAGGAGCCGGTCCTGCGCCGTGTACTCCCATGCTTGGAGGAGCGAGGCCGCTTGCGCCGTCAGCGCGGATTGCGGGATCAGAACGCCTTTCTGCGCTGGTGTGTCAGCACCGTCCCTTACTTTCTTGGAGGAAGAAGATGAAAAGGAAAGATAGCGTCCGTACCGGTCGGTTCGTGGTCCCGGAGGTGTACAGCATCATCCCACCGCGGGGTTGCTGTCCTGTAACGTCTTCCAGGGTCACCGAAGAGGAGCCCAGACTCGTGGCTCCCACTTCGATCTTCTTCTTCACGTCAAGGATGGGTTCCCGGTCCAGTCCGGCGTTCAGGACGTCCTGGGCTTTGTTGGCGTACTTTTCCGTGGCCAGCAGGACCTTGGCCTGCGAATTGTCCATGATGTACTTGAGTTCGCCGACCGGGAAAGCAGGGGAGAGGGGGAGGGCGATCGCGTCGCTGGCGAGGATCGAGAGAAGCGTCACTGCCGTCACGGTCAGTTCAAGGACCTGCTCTCAAGTATGCGGAGAGGAAACAGGACAAGCCGAACAGTACCTACGTAGTCGTAGCTGTTCTCCGCCAGGAAAGCAACCCTCTCCCCCGACAAACTGCCATGACGCCCTCCTCCAGATTGTATGAGTTGCTCCTTGGCCTGTAGGACATCTGCGACCAGGTTGCCGTACGTGAAGGAGCGAGCCGATGCGCTGTGGACGACCGCCAGGTTGGATTGGTCGTGGTTCTGGAGGGCGCGGAAGAGAGGCAGGTTCGGCAACGAGGCGAGCGATCGACGGCTTGCAGGTGTCAGGCCAGCTCGAGCGCGAGCATGGCGGACCAGACGGGGAGAGGCAATTGAGCCCCGCGACAGGACTGAGATCAAAGGGCGGCCTGGCATGATGAAGCTTGGAGAAGCATGCAGTGCATGTTCAGGAGTCTGGGTGAAAGATGCTCAGAAATCACGAACTGATGTCATTTTCAGAAGAGCTCCCGCGGAGGTTGGCGGAGAGTCGGCGGTCTCGGCGCCGCGATAAGACCCTTTGCTCCGGTTATCGGCTGTTCCCCATGTCTGGATCTTCGTCCGGGGAAGCGATCACGTGTATCCTTCTGGAACTGTAAAACAGTTAGATCTTCGATTTGTATAGGTCGCGGAGCGTCCGAAGCCTTCTACGAGGAAATACAGGGGAGGGAGTTACCCCTCGCTGGGTTATATTTATAACGAGCTTGAGTCTAGCAATGGCAGGGGGAATAACCTCGACTTCAAGGTGCACTAAAGATCCCTGAACACAGAATCACGCCGCTTTCCCTTGCACTTTTTGGTCAGTGGCTCGAGTTCGAGCCGTTTCTTTGCCTTTCTACCTTTCCCCTCTTTTTAAGACATGGCTTGCAGGCAGGTGAAGTGGGTTGCGGTGAATGGAAGGAAGGAAGGGGTGTTACAGGAAGGTGGATGTTCTCGGATTCTGCAGATGAACCAAGATATGCTTTACTTGCGCATGATGATGGGGTATTCGAGAGGGTATTCTCTCTCTCTCTCTCTGCCGGGAGAAAATAGATGAATTCGAAGACGGTAGGCTTGGAGCACGTCGGGATTACATACATTACGGTGGGTGGGTGATCTTACAAGTGTATACTAGAGCAAGAAATCTGAACAAAGCCTTTGAGATATCACCATCTTTACAATGCCATATACCTAGACAGTGTCGGTATCTTATCTTATCTCGAGAGGTGGTCTCACCAACAGTAGAAGAGGCCATCTGCCTTGCTGCAGCAGGAGCGCAACCAGGATAGTGAAGTCGAATAGATGATTGCCTGTTGCGCACGTTTATAAGTCTTTAGGGCTATAATTCATAGCTTGCGGCATGAAGTAGGTGTGGTATGACAAACACCTACCCACAGCCTTGGCTCACTGTCAGCGTGTCAGTGAGATTGCATAGAAGCAAGTGTTTCGTCCCACCTGAGCCCGCTAGCCTAGTCGCACCATCCTGATCTTGATCCTTTCTGTACAGCAGCGTAAATCTGAATGCTTGCAAACACAATCTTGTGTATCCAACTGAAGGCCTTGCGATCATGGCCGATGGCTATCTGCAGCTCAATGGCGGGGCTGACGCTGCATCACTGGCGCGTCACTGAGCGCATCACCAGCCTGGCCTGGCATTCGTCAAATAACCATATAGCCACCCTAGCCTGTATGAAGCAGTAACTTGAGGAATGCCGACAGGTCCGGTACATCCAGGCAGCTTTAACGGCTAGGCTTGCGATAGTTCTTTTGTCGTAGGCTTGCTGCCATTAGGATTGACCTTCAAGTAGGTTCCTAAATTTACCACCGCTCACCAGACTGGGCCTTTTCCTAAGATGTCTGCCCAATGAATGCTTCACATTGGAGCGCTGAAATACATCAATAACGGCCGGGAACCAGCCATACTCATTCTGGAATGCTTGCTACGGAAGACTGGCGGTGCGAGTGTTCTTGATGTATGACTGTTAGTGAGGTTAGCGAAGCGCTCTGTTAGTTAACAGCCAACTAATCCGTAGCCCGGGGCACATTAAAGGACACCAACGCTACTGCAGTCCAATCCTCCTGCATATTGACCCCTACGAGCCCGGGACCTTTCTACTTCTTGTTGAGGGCAGACTGCTCTTGAATGCTCGAAAATAGGATAAAAAAAGACAACAGTCTTGACCACCGTTTGACTGTGGGAGCCATTGTCCTGTAATTTAGAGTCTAACAGACATGAAGACATGAAGCGTTGCGATCAGGTTGAACATTGACTTGTTATCGACATGGTACGATGTACAGCAGGTGTACAATATAAAGTCCGCGGAGGCAGCACCCCGCTAATCCCAAAGTAGCAACGCATCAGCCTGCCGCGGGCCCGGCCAATTACCGCCATCGGATTCTCAGCGACCCCCGGTACCATCCACTGCACCAGTTCAATGCGATTAATTCCATCCCGCTCCAATTGAACCCTCCGCTCGACACAACCACACCCTCCATCAGTTCCACTGCATAGATCTCTACAACCCTCGGCCCATTCCGCCTCTACTCCGCCCAATCCTCCATACCTGAAGCAATCCGAATCTCCCACCTCAACCCCCCCCACGGCCCTCACCTCCTCCGATCCAACAGAACAAGAAATCAATGCTTCTCCGCACCACCCGCCTCCCAGGCCTCCTCCGACCTACCAGCTGCAGCCGCCAGTTCTTCTCAACCACCACCACCACCGCCACCGCCAAAATGACCTCCAACACGCCAGTCGAAGACCTCATCCGCGAGAAGGTGAGCCGCCCTTCCCCCGAGCCAACCGTGCCTGGCACCCCAAAACCTCCAACCTCAAATCAGCCCACCAGAATCCAATCCCCAATCCCCCGGAACCCAACCCAACCCAACCCACCCACCCACACTAACGGTATATCCCACGAACAGCTAACAGCAGCCTTCACGCCCACCACCCTCATGATCCGCAACGACTCGCACAAACACGCCCACCACGCGCCCATGCGCGACTCCACCTCCAAGGAAACCCATTTCCAGTGAGTCTCGGCCCCAGGCCAGGCCAGGCCAGCCCATCGAACATCGAACATTGCCAGATCCCGAACCCCAAACCCCAAACCTCAAACCCAAACCCCGGAGAAAATAAGCCCAGACTAACTCGAAACCTTTGACACCAGCGTAACAATCACCTCCTCGTCCTTCGCCTCGAAACCCCAACCCGCGCGACACCGGATGGTCTACGGCTTGTTAAAGGAGGAGATGAGTCGGGAGGGCGGGATCCATGCGCTGCAGTTGCGGACGAAGACGCCGGAGGAGGAGGGGCGGGAGCGGGAGAGGGCGGCGGCGCAGTAACTTCGTTTCCCATCAGCAGCATCGTTTCTGAATATACATCATTGGGACGGTTCAATTCGGAGGTAAGTACTAGTAGGTTGGCGGGAGGGGGTTTCGCAATAACATAATTTCCAGTATGCACATACTCTCGCATCCTAGACATACATGCATGGAACAGTTGATCACTCAACGAATCTACTTACAACAGCCAGATAAATCAACAAAGGGAAGCATCATTATTATTAGGATAGTCGATTATTACGTAAAAAGGATTGGGACAGTGATGGTGGTAGTGGCGGTGGTGGTTTCTAGCGCCCAACGAACCAAAGGCACACACAACACACAACACACACAAGAACAACAACTCTATTATATACACTGCGATTAGCCATCCTGCGCGGATCCCCTAGCACCCCCCGACAGGGGAGCGACAAGGGTCGAGTTTCATCATCAAAGGCCGCATAACGCCCCTCCCCTTCAAAGACAGATAGTTAATACCAGCCATACAGGCCACACAACATGGAAGCGAAGACGCAGGGCACGAGAGGGAAGAAGCGGAGGGGCCGAACGGAGCATAGGGGACCGCAGAGCGCAGTGACGGGCGTGCTTTTTCAACCAGAGAATCAGAAGCAGCGAAGAAAAAGAAGAACAGGGTGGTATTCCAACAGAAAAGAAGAAGTAAAAAAAAAAAGACTCAAAACTGGAAATAGCAATCGGCCCCGTGGTTGTCCAGGTGTCCGACGTCGGCGCAAAAGCACAAACCTGGACTAGGACAAGGGGCGCAATCAATGGATTCGTTACAGCCTGGCGTAAATAGTGCGACAACGGGATCGGTCATAGGGATTTAAGGATCGACGTGAATAACCGCATCGATCCGACCCAAGTCGGCTGGTTCGAACACGGCCATCGGATGTTAACTTGGAACGAAGCCGCCCTCATTTCTTGTTGGCTTCGGTGACACCAACGGCTACACCAACGACGATAGCGATGATGAGGACTAGAGACATGTTAGCTACGTCTAGAGCAATGATTTTGGTAATGCAAAGCTACTTACTGACGACCAACAGGGCGTACCACTTCCACTTTCTTGCCCGGCGAGCGCTGGCAATGGCTTCCGTGATCTGAGTGTTGGCATTGGCGACGTTTCCAGCAACGTTCTCGGCGTCTTGGCTGATCTGCTCCACAGCAGGCTCCTGCATGTGAACCAGCTCTGCGACCTCCTGGTACAGTCGGCCCAGCTCGATCATATCCTGCTCAATCTTGCGAATAGCGGCCGAACGCTCCAAGGCCGCCTGTCTGGCGTCGTTGGCCTGTCTAGTACGGCTACCAGTAACCTAGAGCACTGATTAGCGAGTCATCCGGGGCAATCGCGGACAGGGCCCACCATACCTGGAAGCTCTGCTCCTGGCCCAGCAGCACACTGTCGACACCCTGCTCGATCTCTTCGGGAGTCGCCTCGGGGTTCGCGATCTCGTAACGTCTGCGAACCTGCTCTCTCAAGCGCTTCTGGAAGTCGGACTGGCATCGCTGGTACTGTTCGATCTCGCGACGGAGGTTGCGGCTGGTGACGTCGACCTGCGTCTGGACGCGGTTGTCTCCGGAGCCCGGGGTCTGCTTGATCTTCTTCAACAGATCACGGAGGTAGCGGAAGCCGTTGTTGATCTCGTCCTCAATGTAATCCAGAGTCTGGCGGGCGACCTGGTCCTCCTTTCCAGTGCTGGAGTCGAGCATGGCGTTCTGGGCGGCGGCCAGCTGGCCCTCGCGCTTGGCCTTCAGGTCCGCGATACCATCGTTGATCTCCCTGCACTTGTTCAACAGCGTGGTGGCGTCGGCCGGCTGTTCCGCGATCGCATTCATTTCTGGTAGTACGGAGAGCTTGCGTTAGGAGACTGGTAGGTTCGCATGACGGGTCCGAGCTGCGGCGCGCTTACCGTAGGTGCCGTTACCCTGGCCCTGCTCGACGGCATTGGCCTGGTCATAGGGGTTCTGGTTGTAGCCCTGCTCGCCATAAGGGTTGTACTGGCCGTAGCCACCCTGATTACCTCCGTACTTTGTTGTTCACAGGTCAGCAATGAAGGTCGAGGTGCGCATGAGCTCAGGAGTCAGGGGAGGGGTAGCAGCGGCGGTCGCGGAAGGTCGTGACCATGCTTTAAACGGAGACATACACTCATTGTGATATTATTTCGAGGTTATGTATATTTGAGATGGAAGTTTCGTAGTGATAGCGTCACTGGGAGTTATCTTGCGGAAGAGTCAAGTCGCAGGCTCGAAGGGACCAATTCGCAAAGCGATCGGAGCTCGGGTCGTACGGGAAACGACGACGGGGGGGGGGTTTAATAGCGCGATCGACGGTAGATAGGATGAGGTGAGTTCGTTCCGACAGGGAGGAGGGGTCGAGACGAAGGAGGGCGTGTAGGAAGGACGAAGGTGGGGTGCAATGAGGAAGAGAGGTCGTGGATGAAATGGAAGTTGGAAAAAGAATAGGCAGTAGTTTTTGAGTTGAGGTAAGAATTGAAGGGCAAAAAGAAAGAGTGACGGGTGAGACACACACTGGCGGCGGCTGCTGAGCCACGGGCGCGGAGGCGGTTTGAAGGAATGACTGATGGTTGGTTTGGTTAAGGATTGGATGGCTTGGAGGGCTCAGAGGGCTTGGATGGACGGGCTGGATGGCTCTGGCCCGCAGACGGCAATCTCGACAAAAACAACAACACGCACAAATTCAACCAGAAAATGAAGGTATAGAAAAGAAGGTCAGTTGAAGGAATGACTGAAGAGTAAGGTGGTTAGTTAGCAGAAAAAAAGGTTTTGTTTCAAAAACAGCAGTCTCCTCTTCTTTTTCTCCAGGTCGGTCACAGACTCACAGGTAAGTCAGGGGGTGAAATCTGCGCCCACTGCAATTTTTCGCCCAATGTATAATTAGTAGGGGGGGCTTCCAAGCTACTGCACAGACCAGTGGACGATCCTCGAGTCCCCTTTTCCCTCCCCATGAAGCAGGAGGGCAATCAAAACAATAATCTAAGTTGAGGACTGGTGAAACAAGGGAAGGACTGAGCTGCGATGGGGCTAAACGGCGGGTTCGAAGTGCAACTATGGACTAAGTACTGATCGGTAGGCAGGCAATTGTCTCTATACCATAAATTTCTATGCTCATATGCAGATACAGATTGTAGTTTGTTAACCCGTGCAGCTCCAATCCAGATGTGTATGTGCTGCACTCAATTTCCGGGCGCCAAAGTGGGAGATGACGGCGCTCTCTCCAAGCCCTCGCGACCAATTGAGCCCTGGAACAAATTACCACTACAAACAGCCCCAATGCTTGAGTGAAATGTTTGAGCAGTCCAGCACTGCGCGGACTCTATACCCACTACGTACCACACACAGTATACTCAAAAGCATATTCCCCGTCCAGCAGAGGAGGGGCAGGAACATTCTGCACGTCATTGACAGGACACCAACTCGATTATGCTAGAAGAGCTTGAACGGTCCTCCCCACTCTTGGCTGGCCCGAACAGTCAATTGGAAACTACTGTGTCAATCGATTAACTACTCCGTAAGTTCCTCAAAAGACCATAACCAAAACCCTCGCAGACCGCTTCTCTGCGGACGCAATTCCCCACAACCAACAGGTGTCTCGAAATATGAAGTGAACCATCCCGTCAAGTTTCACCCATCATCCCACAATGCAGTATTGTGTCGTTTGAACGAGATGCGAGTCAGGCTCGCCTCAGAGACACTTTCTTGCGTTATCTCCGCCACCATCAGTACCTTTCCACCAGGCAGGCAGCTCCACAATCCCCGGAGACCCTGTGGCCACTGGTCTGGTTTGTCCGCACGTCAGAGACGGTCACCTATAATTAGCAACCGATTCCCAACGTGCAGCCAATCTCGTAGGTCGGAGAACGAGTTCGCTGTGTGTGGTGGAGTGGAGGGGCACTGCCACTGACAACTGGACACGCCACATTCCCTGGTGACTTCTCGGTGGCTCAGCAGTCGCTGTGGCTGGAAGACTTTCGCTTGTTCATACTCCCAACTCGCTGTTTATACTGAGTGCTATACAACATTCTCTTGCCAACTGTATCCATTCATAGAAAACACATCGACATCGGCAAGTATCTCGTAGATTACGATCGGCCCAACTGTAACTTCCGGCTCAGTAACAAGTTCCCTTTCTGCTCATCAGGTATAGCAACCGGTGGAGAACAAATCCATGGCCAGAGACATGCTTGTAGGCCCAATCACAATCTGAACCGAGATCTTTCGCTCATGACAACAGAGCCTAGGAGATACCACTAAACTACTTCCAACAGCACCGTCCATCAAAGGGCCGAGTACCCAGTATGCCATCCAAAGCGTAAATCACTACACGTGAAAAGGAGTGCAACACAGAATCTGCAAGCATGGCCACCTTACATCTCGAATCTACATATCTGCATGCAAGGATCCACCAGAATGCACGACGGGATATGAGAGCCTGAAACTCTGGTCTCCATGCCACAGGGATTGCAGATTCGATCTGCTCATCTGCTAAACCATAGCATCGCTATGGGATAGACCCTGCAGTGCTCGAAACTGCTTTGGACTTCCCTTCTTTCATATCGAGATTCACACACTCATTCATCTATAACCTCACGACTAAAAAAGTCGTGACCGCCGCCAGAAGTACCCGAGGAAGCAAGATATAAATGGCATAGGCATTCTCTCAGCGAATCCCTTCGGTTCTTGCCTGGAGACTAATTGGAGGAGTAACTTACAGACAACACTCAACGTGTCATTCATAGAGAACCCATTAAAAGCGACTGCCTGTGTAGTTTTTTTCAGATATCCCATAGAGGAAGTATCTCCCCAAATTCCCGAGCAAGCAAACCACTCTTCAAGCAGGTGAATCTGCGAATAAACGTTTGGGGGGAATTTCAATATAGTTTGTGATATTCAAGAAGCTACTTATACTTGACATATGACCCATAGCCACCGCCTATACAATCACAACCCGCGCAACCGAACACTTCATAGAGCACAACCGTAAAGCATAAGCGCCCCCCAATCATAACAATCGGCTCTGGCCATCATATGAACCCTATATCCAACGATGGAAATCGTAGTCCAACCTCTCAGGGACTTGGGTTGCAGGTTGCAGGCGACGGCTGCAGGTCAGCGTGCTGCAGGTGCCGTCTCTCCTCAAGTACTAGACCTAGTTAGTACCTCTGCGAGCAAGCAGCTTTCCAAGCAAGCATCTCTGCAAGCCTACATCGAACAGTCAACTATCTCCAGCCGAAATCGCATGGCAAAGGACCAGGATTAGAGCGAATATGCCCCTACAATCCCGATGTCCGTTGCAAAGACCTAGACGTCGTGAGCACTACACACTACACACAGCCATACAATACAATAGTCCCAAGAAGTATGTATATTCTCTGCACTCAAAAACTTCGATCAGCCTCTTCCACAGCCCGACGGATCAGCGGGTTATCAACCACCTTTCCCCATGACCTCAGAATTGACAGTTGGACTCCCCCAACCGAATTACACCCGTGCCTGCGAGACGAATCCATCAACACCGTAAAATCCGGACAGGCCAGCCAAGGACCAGCCAGAAAATCCACCAGAAGTATCACTAACCCCAGTAGGAGCTGGTGGAGGTAAAGAGTCACCGTCCAGGAACGGGCCTTCCAGACCGAGCACAGCGGCACAAGTCCGAAGCCACTGACCTACCACCAGTACAAATGCACGGCATCTCTGAGGCATGGAGATAGACCCAAACAGCAAGCATGACCAGCACCGTGGACACTTGACTCATACATCACTTGCACGAGTCCCGTTCTACGAACCCACAAATCCCAATTAACCACATCCACATCCACATGGTGCGTGTGTGTGTGTGTGGTGGACATCAACATCCTCGTGGTGTTAACAACAGGTAAACCACAAGAGAGAAGTCCCGACCAATGCAAATCAATCCGATGCAATACAATCCAAACCCAGAACCAAGACCCAGAACCAGAACCGAACCGAACCCATACCCAGAACCACAGCTTTCTAGGGAAAAGAAACCCCCCCACCAGAAGAACCAGAAGAAAGAAAGAAAGAAAGAAAGAAAGAAAGAAAGAAAGAAAGAAAGAAAGAAAGAAAAGAACAAACAATCCCATGGAACCTATCTCTAACGCCCAGCCTTCCAGTAGACTAGTAACTTACTTGCAGCACTTCCTCCCACTCCCGGAGGGAATACTAGCTTACTGTGTAGTCTAGTCTACCACCCCAGTCAGCAGAATCTCCGCCCACCAGCGGAAAGAGCAAAAAAAGAAAATATACTCCGTACTTCGTCCGTACTAGGTACCAAAACCCCGACCCGGAGATTCCCGAAGTTCTACTTCTACTCCGTAACTTCCCGCTACCATCCAACCCAATATCTTCGAAGCAGCATTGGGAATGAAATCCTCACCAGCATCTTGGACTACAAACACCACATAAGTATATGTATGCATCATCGATCTCAACTATCAAGAACATCCAATGATTTCAATTAAACGATACTTACATAAAAAAAAAAATCCTCCATGGTGGTCCGAGTCAACCTACTGAGTACAACCTACAACAGCCAAGAGCAAGAGCAAGCGCAAAAGCAAGAGCCGCACCAGCCAAACAACACAACACTGCTAGTAGTCCAGCGCTGGGGCACCCAAATTGCAACTTGCAAAAGAAAGACAAAAACCCATTACCTAACCATGAGCAATGCTTATTATGCAACCACAACCGCAATCCCACCGCCAAGCCCTCATCTCATGATAAGACATGGGCCCCCCCACTGCACTTACATTTGTCCAAGTCCAACTGCACTGCACTGGGCATCCATCAGGTGGTGCCGTGTTGGGTCCGCGGAGCCAGTCAGACACTGTTCCGGAAGCGGATAAGCTGGGAAAGGCCCCCGGGCCCAAAATGCCAAGAGATGCTAAGACAAACTACTGCAGGGACGGGGCCGGAATGGAAGGAACAAAAGAAAAAAAAAAAAGAGTGCCCCATCCGGATAGAGCGGCCTCTTCACTGAATGGGTCATGTGGTCTCAACACTGACGCGGTTGAGGTTGAGGCGATACTGGCACAAAATGTTTGAGTAAGTGAAATCAGAATTCTGTATATGCTAACTAGAATCTATACTATGTAGTGTGGTAAATAATAAAAAAAAAAACGTCAATCCGTACACCCTGCATATATACACACATGGGGTCGTCATACTGCATCTGCTCATCAAAGGGCTGGGACGCGAGCCTGCGCGAGATGATCAAGTATATCACGTTTCAAAAAAGATCAAAACGCCATCCACGAACATCGCAAAGCTAAACACAAAAGAATTATAATACATTAGAATGGGGGGGTGGAGGGGATTCCGATCAGGAATCTAGTTGTGCTCATCCTTCTTCTGCTCCTGCTCGATGGGGGCAGGAACCTCGGGATCTTCCGCGTCCAGGGCGTTCATCTCGTCCTCCTGGTCGTTCAGGTGGTGGTAAACCATCCAGAAGATGATACCGGCAATGAAGGAGGCGCAGGCCAGACCGACAAACATCCACATGATGGCGGGGTCGAACGCAGCGGGCGTCAGAGCCTCGGCAATAGCGGAACCGAACGCGTTGGTGAGCAGGTACATGGACTGCACGAACGACTTCATGGACGGAGGCGCCTTGGTGTAGGCGTACTCCAGACCGGACACCGAGGCGAAAATCTCAGAAACACCGATGAAAACGTAGGCAGGCGTCTGGATCGCGATGTGGACGTGGTTGCCAGTGGCCGCACCATCAACGATGGAGGCATCACACAGGGGCTTGCCGTAGCAAGGTCCGGCAGAGTAGATCAAGTGCTGGACAATGGCCGCGTACATCATAGCAAGGGAGGCGATGACGAATCCAACGGAGATACGGGTGATGGGGCGGAACTGGATGCGCATGCGGCGGAGCAGGGGGTAAACAAGAGTCTCCAAGACCGGGATGAAGACAATGACAGAGATGGGATCGAAGTTCTGCATCAAGTCGTTGGGGATACCGTGGCTCTCCATCTCACCGGCCTGGGTGACGAAGTTGCTGGAGAACTGGCCGTAGACAACCCAGTAGACGGGGTAGAAAGCGAACACACGGCATGCGACCAGGGCGCGCTTGAGCTCATCAATGAAGTGATCATCCCAGGGCAGATCGGGTCGGTTGCCTCCATTGGTGGCTTGCCAGCTAGGCTTGGCTGCGTCCATGTTGCGGTTGACGATCATGATTCCCAGAGCCTTGAAAGCATCCGTGATGATGGAACCCTGAGGAGGACGGACCACGTAGAACTTGCGACCGAAGATAAGGACACCAGTACCGACGGCAAACATGCACAAGCAGAGCAGGTAGCCAGACCAGAAGCCGATGTACTTCTCCATGTAAGGCGTGGCGATCAGGGACAGGGAGCCGATGTTGATGCAGGCGTAGAAGATCATGTAAATGCGCTGGATGGTCAAGGCGGGATCGATGATGACCCGCTCACCCTTGGGGGTCGTCTTGATCGCCATCTTCTTCCTCTTGTATTGGTCGGCAATCAGAGGAGCGACGTTACTCTTGATACCGCCGGTTCCCAGACCAATGATCAAGATGGAAACAATGAAGCCACCAACACCCGCTCCATGGGAGAGAGCAGTGGGGATAGACGTGCAAACCAAGATAAGGAGACCGACCAGGTAGATGATACAGAAAACCACGATCGTCTTGTACTTGCCCAAATATTGATCGGCAACAATAGCACCAAGGATGGGAGTAACTACGGACCGAGGTCAGTAAGAGGAATGAGGATGGACCGAGTCAGAATGACTAACCATAACACCAGAACTGGAAAAAAGTGGTCAGACCAGTGGCACCACGTTGGCCCATGCCAAGGGCACCACGACCCTGACTGCCATCGAGAGGGCGTTGGATGTAGTTTTGGAACATGCCGGACATTCCGTAGTAGGTGAAACGCTCGCAAAGCTCGACAACAGCGACGAGCCAAGCAGAGACGGGCAGATGTTCGGCGACATGACGGAGGGTTCGGACCTCTTCCTGGTTGGGTTCCTCACCATCAGGAGTAGCGTCGAGAGCCTTCTCCGTCATGTAGGCCTTCTCGTTCGAGGTGACCTCGGTGATAGTGCCATGGCCCTGTTGGAACGGCCTGGAGCATGACATGTTAGTCTCGAGACGGTAGGGCAATGCTTGATGACTCAGCAGGCGCTGCGCTACATGGCAGGCGCACAGAGACACAAGACAAGAATAAGAAAGAAAAGGAGCACATACTGAGCAATATCAGCCTCGCGATCTCCGGAAGACATGGTGGCAGAGACCAGGCAAGGGAATTGGTCCGACAGGAACGGTCGCAGTAGGGAAGATTTCCACAGGAAAGGAGACAGAAAGACCAGCGTTGAGGAGGGAAACGGCCCTCACCTTATATCTCCCTCGACGGTCGACGATATAGGAACAGTAACCGAAGCGGACCCATCCTGTCCCCGAACCAATGGCCGCTAGATAGATAGAGGAGAGACCCCATCGAAGGGTGGAAAGGAAGGCAAATGGCGACGGCCGAGGCAGGGGAGATGCCGATGTAACCCCAGGCTGAAAGCAAAATGTTGATATGACAAGCAGCACCAAGCATGACCTGAGACAAGTGGGAAAGACGTTGATTGGCTTGCTGGGGGGAGCAAAACCCGGCTGCAGTTTGGAACGCCAAGAAGGTCGGGCCCTGCCGGTGAGTGCGGAATGTTTTTTCTTTCCTCCCTCGAGCCAAATTTCCACTTTTCCCTCGTGGCGAAAAACAGTTCCTCTCGCATTTTTTTTCCACCCCTCGCTTCCAGTCCTTCCCTCGCCCACTCGAGATCATTGCCTGTTTGAGCTTTGTCCTGCATATCATCCGATTTTTCATGGTTATGCGCCACCACCCCTGGCTGGCCTTTCAAATTTGCAGAGAACCATCATGTCCGATGAACTGACTGACGGACTGCATGGCCAGCCAGAGACTAGCTAGCCTGCCTGCCTAATCAGGACCCGGGAATTCGTTTCGTACAGAAAAGCGATCCAATCTTTCGTGCCGTCGGTTGGACCACCGCAAGCGGAACATGTTAGGTAACATAAACACTTTTAGCTGTAGGCTAGCAGATAAGCATGGCATGTCTTATTCGTGACTCAAACGGAGTTGGAAGGAAACTCCGCCGCGTTTCTCAAAGGGCGCAGAGGGCGCGCGCGCTGACTGTGGCCACTGGCCACCTATCGTGCGTTGGAAATCTTGTTCCCCCGCCTGTCCATGCGAGGATCAGCACTCAGCATGATTGCAACGTCGGGCTTCCCCGCGTGTGGTGTGCGAGCAAATGAGTCAATAGCTTGTGACCTATCATCAGTGCATCACAAATCAAATCTAGTCATTCGACAGGAGCAATGCAATCGCCCTTCCGAGATATCCCTTGTATCTCTGTAACAAGCAATGCTTGTCTCAGCCCACAGCTGTGCTTATTTCTGCTGCCTCCTCTGCCTCTCCCTTGCCCTCAAGCCGTACAAGCCGTAATGTAATCGGAGAGTTCGCAATGCCATTGAACCCATTCCGCGTAGATTAGGCGATGTTCTCGAAGGGGCCGACGAGTGGAACAGAGTTATCGTCTATGGGGGAGCCGACGGGGGAGCCGAGGCGTCGGCAAATCCCCAGCTTAGCTTTTCCCTTAAGATATGGGGATGGAGTCGGAGAAACATTGCTCGTCTGATGAGTTCTGATCGGATCATTGCTGTACAGGGACTGGGCGTTGTTGACGACGATCGAAGGCTTCCTCATTGGGGTATGGTTCCATTCTGATCGGCTCCAGCCGCCAGGGCAAAACCTGGAGAGAGACATCTGTCCATCGTAAGACACCTTTCTTCCTTGTCCTATTCGTCTTGTCCAAAGATATATGAGGTCAGTGAGGTGTCACGGAGGTTCTGAGGTGGTGAGGGGAAGAAATGCCTTTGGAAAGCGTTCCTTGAGAGCGCGCGTGGGGTGGGGTAGTGTCTGTTGAGGTTAAGTACCTGTTCAAGGTCCGACTTCGCCCTCGGAAAGCCTTCGGCCACCAACTGGTTTGGTCATGGTCAACACAACCCCCTGGCCATGAATTTCACCGTTCGACTCATGACTCGAAACACTCGCTGACCTGGAGAGATAACAGTTCATATATCAAAAGGCGCAAAGCCTCGAAGGGCGTGGCCGCCTCGTTTTCGTCCTCTTGTTCGGCCGTTGGCGCGCTAGACTCCAAGGCAGAAAGGGCTCCGATCTTCCTCCGATGCCTTTAGGGATGGCGTGCTAAGCACGACCGGGCCAATCAAGCCGACCCTGTTTATGACTCGCGACGGCGACATTCCGTGAGAGTGTTGCCGAGCGGAGAGTGACTCAATCAGCGACCAGCATCTAACGTGTATACGATAGGCGGCGGCCTCTTGGCTGGACTGGGCGGCGGCCGTGATCGGCTGGATTGCCCGTGCTGATGATCTGCACGGTTGCTATTCTGGAAATGCTCCCAACTCAAGCCGTTGCGTTGCACCTTTGCGAGATAGTCGGAAGGGGACCACGGTCGCCTGGGTTCGCAGGACAGTGTGGATCGGACTTCTTAGCCGGCCTTGGGGGTGTTTGTATGAGTGGATCAAACTCTGATAAGGCCAAAGCAGGCTAAACTCAGCTTGCCATCATAAAACTCGAGGCGTATAAACCTCAAGGCGCAATGCCAGTTTCCATGCAGTGAAAAAAGGCTTCTTACCAAGCATTATCTGTGACCTTCCAAGCCTTTTAAAGTAGACGATCATATCTTGTCACGGATCCACAATTCCGCGCAGGGGTGGATAAATGGTCAACCGTCGGGCATTAATTCGCTCGGAATATGCGGAAGCACTCCTGTTTTTGACCCAGTGCGCGTTTTTATCAAAGGAAAAATTGAAAAAGCAGGCAGCAGAGCTTCAGGATGATGAGGTGGATGGCTATTCTCGCGGTACGGTGTCGAAATCGTAACTCGGAAGGCGCCATTTCAAGCTGTGCCTGTGACTAAGGGCAGCGTGACGATGATCCTACTGGTCGACAAGATAACAGCATAGCGGGCGGGCATGCATTCTAGCATGGCTGGATTGGATTTGAAACCAATTAAGCCCGCCGTAGAAACTGATTGATTGCTATCTAGCTTCCAGCTGTTGCTTATGGTCCACGAAGGAAACGATCCACCGTAGTCCCTCCATATGCCATCCATCCATTGACTGTAACTTTGTTTCCCCTCTTTCTGCTTAGTCTGCTCGTGACTGTCATGCCAGAACTTGCCAAAGAGCACATATCTATTATGATGTGACATCGAGACCTTCGTTTCATGGGTTCATGAAGGGCAGTATAGATCCTTTGGTATTTTCACCTATCATGATACTCGCCACGACGTATAGCAATACACGCCAGATATCCCAGAATCCGTCACACTGGGGACCCCTTGAATAAAAAGTCACCCGGATGGGGTTTTCTCTCGTCCAAGACAGCATACTTTTCAAGAGAAGACTCGATTTGCAGATTAACATAAGGACGCAGCTTAGCATACCACAGAGAATCACAACAGAAGACCTCCATTAAGCACGAGAAATTATACAAGGAGACCACATCTACCAACACAATCACCGAGAGAAAGTGTCCACCTTAATTATCCAAGCAAACACACAGGCACCACAAGCACTTGTCTCCGAACTAGCCACCCCAGAGCCACCCTTGAAAAGACATCTATACCAACCAAAGCAGATCAGCAAAAAGCCCCGCCCTATCAACACACCACAGAACAAATTGAAGAGACTTACCTCCCAGCTCCAGGTTAGACCCTCCCTTTTCACAGTCCGCAAAGCACACAGATATAGCAACAGTCAGAAGTCAGCATCTACTGAAGCCCACCCCCTCCGAAGCAGGAGAATGACTGACTTACCCTTTCGTGTTTGGAGTCTTGTGGCCCAGGCCCAACCCAACCACCCGTCCATAGGCCCTCGAGAACTTGCAAGTGGAAGTCTGGAGGTACGGCAAGCTCAAAGTTTTTTCCAGTGAGCCAAAAACCTGCTTGCGCTGTCACGAACAAATGCTCGATCCGGCACAACTTACGAATAAAGATAGACCGTTAGCAACCGGGGACAATGTTGGGGTCACGTACCTGTCTCGGGGGTGGTAGGGGGGAGAGAAGAAGATAGGAAGAGAAGGGGCAGAAAGAAGGGAAGGGGAAGGTTGAAAAGGACAGAAGGAATGATGAGAAGAGAATGAGAAGAGAATGAGAAGAGAATGAGAAGAGAATGAGAAGAAAGAGGATGAGAAGTGGAAGAATGAGAAGAGGAAGGACGAGAAAAGGGAGGCTAAGAAGAGGAAGGATGAAAAGAGGAAGGATGAGAAAAGAAAGGATGAGAAGGAGGAAATTGGAATGATGGTGGTGGAAGAGAACGAGAAAGAAAGGGAAGAAGATAGATGGGTGGGTTGGGTTGGGCAGTGGAGTGAAGAAGGAAAGACTGACGAGAAAGGTGCTTTGTGAATCCGAGGGACTCGACATGATGATGAAAAGCAAAAGGCTGGTGGGTTACTGCCCGGCCTGGTAGGGACACCGACGCTGGGCTCATGGCGCCTCATTCACTTACTTCAAAATTTCCTAAACAGGAAGTCACTATCAAGGTCACTCACCCCACGGTCACGGACCGCTAACCACCACCGACTCCAGTTGTACTCGCTACCGAGCCCTACTTGACCCGTGCGGCATACAGCAACTTGGAAGAGGGGTTCATCCACATTGGATAGCCACCGAGAATAAAAAGAACATCTGTACTGTACTGTACTCGGTGTATACACGGCCAGCATTGAGGTTTTGTCTCGATTATGGAGTTGAAGGACAGCAACGTGACCATGCAAGCAAAAATCAGCCAGGTCAATTAAATGCAGCAATTCGAATCATTTTCTTGTATTCTCCGATCCCAAAAGGGACAACACTGAAATTTAACAGAATATGGTATAAACCTCGTCAGAAATACGTCTTGAGGAAAAGACCTGCAACCAGATCATCGCCTCACTGCGAAGTGCTGGCAAGCCAGTTTGGAATATGTCTCCTCCCACAGGCAATGCCTTGTACTGATCCTTTCCCTTTCGTTACCGCGCATCATCACGGAGCCCTTTTCCATTAATCCATAGCAAACAAGCGAAAACCACCGCGTTATGATATCATAAAGCCAAAGCGACATAAGCTAGCAGGCGCTTCAGACGACAAACTTGGCCTTGGCTCTCGTGCTGCCGCTGTGCGCGCTGTCTGTGTGTCCGGAGAACTCAACGGCATCCGCCTCCTTGAGACGGAGAACCTCCTTGAAGCGGCGGCCGATGGCCTCGAGGATGTCCTTGCCCTGGGCGGGCGTACGGGTGCTGTTCTTGTCGCCCGGAATGGCCTTGCCAACGGTCCGTGTCCACAGACCCACACGGTAGAAGCCCTTGCGTACGTTCACGACGACGCCCATAACCTCGCTGTCGCCATCGCTCTCGAGAGTCTCGCCAATAGCTGCCAGCTGAGCGTGCAGCCACAGGTCGTCAATGGGCACGGAGCGCTTGTCCTTGAAGGAATATGACCACTTTCCGCCGTGCTTGTTCTGGGGGTCCTCCCACTCCGGTCTGACGCCCTTCTTGAAAAGGTGGTAGTCTGCTTTGAGGCCCAATTCGGAGGTCGGCGTGATGTTGTTCTAACAAAATCAGTTAGCCAGAAAATCCCACTTAGGGCACAGCACGCGACATAACGTACGTAGATTCCCCAGAATTCCTCGACAGAGTTGAAAGTCACAACCTCCTTCAGAAGGTCGTTCCAGTTATCGCCCTATAACCACGGATGGGTCAGATGAATGTTGAACGCAGTCGATCGAGTCGATCGGTCCCTTACCTTGCCACTGGGGGGCTTGGTAAACCAGAGGGTCCACTCGTGCATCAAAGGATGCTTAACATTGAAGTTTTCGGGGTCGTGGAATACTGTGACGGAGTCACCGTTCGTCTTTTCGGTCTGCTCGGCGGCAGCGACGGGGGCGGCATTCTCGTCGGCCACGGGTGCGTGGCCGTTCTCAGCGACGGCGGCCATTATGGTAGAGGGAGTATGAGGTGAGGTAAAGGTCAAGGTGGATGAAGAGGGTCGAGCGGCGGGGTCGGGCTGATGAAGAGGCGAGGGGTCGTCGGAGGGGAGAGAAAAGTGCGGATGGCAAAATTTGTTGTTGTGATGAGAGGCCGTCAAAGGAAGGCGCAACTCGCGGTAAGAGGTGTATGTGTGAGGCAAGAAGGGAAGACGCGCAAGTGGTTGAATCAGAGTTGAGCGTCTGCTCCAGGCAGAATCACGGCGAATGTCGTGGTCGAGACTGTATGGGGAAGATGGCGGAAAATCCCAGCATCAAGTTTTGATGGTTTGGAGATGCCGCAAGGTCGGGACCAGAGTGAAACTTTTCCCTTTTGGGCAACCCTCCCTTCCAGACCTCTAATAGGCTGCCGCCGCCCAACCCAGCCCTAATGATGATATCTTGACAGGGAAGTGAGGTAGGTAGGAGTCACTCTCAGCAAACCATAAAAGAAGGTACTTTGCGCTCTTCAGTTAATCAAGTGACTCGTAGTATTATATTTCTCCTCTTTGCAAGGCTTTAAGCCCACTTCATACGCACAATGCCACAAGTTAAACAGAGGCAACGAGCCTGATGATAGACGCCTGCGAAGTTTGGATATGGATAGGCAGCGTTCTCTGCCCTCAATATGTGTAAACACTATATGACTTTCATTTCTATTAGGTCAAGCTCGGTCTCGACACATATGCTTGAGCAGATTTAAAAACAGTACTACTGAGCCAATCCAGGAACCAGAAAAAGAATGAGTCAGTCTAGGAAACCGGGTATCAAAATGTAAAGTCATGAATTCGAAGGGTATCTATAGTTCAGTGCTAATCAAGAAAGATCTTGGTCTAATCATTTCTCGCCGCTATTGATTAAGCTCAACAAGCAGTTCCAGCCTATTGTTCTGGTCAGTTGTTGCTCGGTCAGAGATAGAACACTACTTACCCAAGCTGACCAGGTTCACGACCAGGACACGGTACTCCAAGGGCACTATGGCGAAGTTGACACCTTGGACCATGGGCCAGATCGTAAGGTTCGCTTTGTAACTGGGGACAAAGCTGCTGCGCAACTTCTCTATTGGGTCAGAGCCCTCCAGTACGGCCATGGACGACAAGAAACATGTCAGGTGAGTGGGCGTGAAGAGTAATTGATCGGCAGCGACCCGAGCGGCGGTGGTAGCGATGGGGTTCTTAAGAACAACATGGCGTTGTAGAATGCCATACCAGGCCGTGGCAGCCGGGCCGAAGATTGCTTGGGACCATTAGAAAAGGAACTTGTTAAAGACAGCAACGCTCATGGCCAATTCTTACCACCTCCATACAGAGCCATGCGTGCAGTTCGTGCCATATCGTGCTTATCAAAACCTCGGCGATCAACGAGCTGCTGAGCAAGGACATCGCCGCTGCCAAACAACACCTGGTTGTCAATGGAGTCAGCGGAGTCAAGAGGAAAGCAAGTAATAGAAATTGTTGGAAGCGGAACAAGACCAGGAAGACATACAAAGCTGGTGACACTGGCGGTCAAGATGGGCTGTTTGGCCAGCTTCGCTTGGTACCTGAAGCGGATACGTCAGTACAAGGGCGGAGGTACATGAATGACCGAATCCTCAATGTAGGATCGACATACCACCGCAACATCTTTGTCTAAGATATCGATGGGGGTCTTTTTAAGAAGATACACAGAGATGAATTGGCTAAGAAAGATGTACACGACCAACGAACAAGATGCTGAAGAGGAAACAGAAGAAGGTTGGTTGCTGGCATAGACTCAGGGAGCGATGATGCAGGTATAAGTATCTGGTCGCAGACTGCCGCTGATAAGGGAACAGGAACAACAGACAGCTCCAACACTCTAACTTATCCACCCCCAGGGTAAAAACCAAGCAAATGCGCGACAATCCACGCCACTCTGGGCAGCTATTGGAGAGCAGCAGCTCGCGACGGGGTAACCCACTTATCACATGATGTACCCGGACGGGGCTCCGATCGGGTTGCCCAAAACGGCTTATCACGTAGGGTATAGGGCTCCGGGCTCGCTTAGCGCACCCGCCCGCGAAATTTCCCTCCGTGCCAAAACAGTTGTGGATAGCGAGAGAAAAGTCAACTCGACGTCGACAACCCCTCCCACGACACCTCCTCTCGCCCCTCCGACCCTTTCCCCAATCGCCATATCTATACAACATGGCTGACGCCGCTCCCCGTGGACGTGGAGGATTCGGATCTCGCGGTGACCGCGGTGGTGACCGTGGCCGTGGCCGTGGCCGCCGTGGACGTCGTGGTGGCGCGAAGGAGCAGGAGAAGGAATGGCAGCCCGTCACCAAGCTCGGCCGTCTCGTCAAGGCTGGCAAGATCACCAGCATGGAGCAGATCTACCTGCACTCCCTGCCCGTCAAGGAGTACCAGATTGTGGACTTCTTCCTCCCCAAGCTCAAGGATGAGGTCATGAAGGTACGAAGCGAACGTTCAACCAAAATCACCCGGAATATCGACATGGAAAATTTTCGAATCGGCGCATGTGCTAGGAAGTGGACGCGCAATTGGATTGGATGCGGGATTGGGAATTGGACAATGTCGAACGGGAATTGCTGCGGAATGGTCAGGTGCTGACGGTCATTCTTTTTCTTCGCAGATCAAACCCGTCCAGAAGCAGACCCGTGCCGGTCAGCGTACCCGCTTCAAGGCTGTCGTTGTCATCGGTGACTCCGAGGGCCACATCGGTCTCGGTATCAAGACCTCCAAGGAAGTCGCTACCGCCATCCGTGCCGCCATCACCATCGCCAAGCTGAGCGTTCTCCCCGTTCGTCGCGGTTACTGGGGTACCAACCTCGGTGAGCCTCACTCTCTGCCCGTTAAGCAGAGCGCCAAGTGTGGTTCCGTCTCCGTCAGAGTATGTCGCAATCGCGCCAGTTCGACTCGAAGCAACCCGTTGACTAACATGAATCCAGCTTATCCCCGCTCCCCGCGGTACCGGTCTCGTTGCCTCCCCCGCCGTCAAGCGTCTCCTCCAGCTTGCTGGTGTCCAGGACGCCTACACCTGCTCTTCCGGCTCCACCAAGACCCTCGAGAACACCCTCAAGGCTACTTTCCTTGCCGTCGTCAACACCTACGGCTTCCTCACCCCCAACCTCTGGAAGGAGACTAAGCTCATCCGCAGCCCTCTTGAGGAGTTCGGTGATGTCCTGCGCCAGGGCAAGAAGTACTAGGATAGTGCTTTGATGGGATAAACTTGCATGATTGTTTTTTGAATCGAACTATTTTTTCTACGGACTTCAAAAAGTTGCTCTTTGGCTGTAGGATCGGAATTCTACACAGATCACGACTTTCGCGCCTACCTACGCTAATTAACGGTGTCAACGGATGTAATGATTATAAGGAGGAGCTTCGAGAACTTAGCGCAAGGTCAATTTAACCTCCATTTTCGCCAGTGACTACCGGTCGGTTGATATGGTACGGTGCGCCCACTATCTACTCTGTGTGTACTCCTACGGTCTCGATCTGGAAAGCAAGCATTCAAGTGCGGAGTAGATAAAAATAGAGTAAAAGAACGCATTTCGAAGACTAGATTTGGCCTGACTGTCCCTGACTGTCCCCGACTGTCCCTTGGACTCGGGATTCGTTACATGTGACATCGCTAGGGAACGGGTCAGCGCCGTCTGGTGTTAATGCCCATGTGCTGCAGAGGCCCATTCATTCAATCGGCCCAGAACTAGGGCGAATAAGGTTGTCATCTAAGCCTGATCCACATCAGAGGTTCAGACGCATTGTTCATACCCGGCTTTCCCTGCGCGCTCGCTTCGGAGCACCTAGCACTGGGGGTGATAGTACATATGTTCTTGAAGTTCCGTATCCAGCTTCTTTCTCAACAACTTAATGGCTAGGTAACTATGTTCCCACCAATTCCAGCCAAACGGCGTCGGTCCTCACACCGGAAGCCTAAAACGCCATCAATCCGCGTGTTATACATCTACATACCAGTCAGAACACCATCAGCCAGTAGATCTAATTGCCAGACTTCAAGCCATAACGAGGACTGTCGTTAAGCCCTTCCGTATGCCTACTACTGGGTAATGACTTGGCCAACCCATAGCCTACTGTCCTCCGCATACTGAAGAGAAATTCAGCTCTAAAAAAACATACATCATAAGAGCACTTGTCAAACCCTAGCCAGAGATCCTCTGCTCCTCGATCTGGCTCTCGTCTAACTCTCTTACGAGATTGGCTTCATGTAGGACTTTACAAGTACAACTTCTATCCCCTATCAACATGAGAACAAAGCATTGAGTTCGTCAATCTCTCCCTGCCGGCTGAAATCTCCTCGCTGCTGTTGGTGCACGTGCATCACAGACTGCTTATCCGCTTCGTGGGTCCCCGCACTTGGAAGTGGTGTCAACTATACAGTCCTCCCTCACTTGACAAAGCCGAGAAAAAGGAGATGACGACCTGAAATGCCCGGGTATTGCCTGAAAAACTTTGTCTGGTTGACTCTTAGCCGTGAGGTTATCACAGATGGATGCTGCAAAACCGCCGGAGATATATTTCTGCAGGGCGGGGATGGATGGTCACATGATCCATTCAGTTGTGAGTCTCCGGCACGGTCGCTCACTGTATTACGACCCACAACTTTATTGCAGCTTCTGAGTTACCTCTGACTCCTGAACAACCCAAGTCTATGCAATTAGAGCCCGCCACGAGGTTGTGGTATGTCTGTCTGCTCTTATGCATGTCGAGGAAGATGGCATCTCATTGAAGTTATTGTCCGCTATGCGCTATGCCTAGGCTAGGCTCGAGCACTGGCAACATACTGTGGAGCCGGGCATAGCCAGATCCCCACATATTCTGGTCATAGCGTTGAGTTGCCTGCTCTTCAACCTCATTCGACCAGTCGTTCAGGCGAGCTAATCGTGAACCCTGGTTGAAGTTTACATGTAATCTAGTTAAAGTAGGTAGTGTTAGCAGGGGTGGCTGGTGCAGCTGGAGCATGATACCTAATACCTGGAATATCATAGGCCACCTCAGTATGACAACAATGACTTTCTCAGTGCCAATGTAACGGAATTCCCATCCACTGTAGCGAGCGGAACAGGCTTCATGTCTAAAGCACATGTCAACCTGATCTGGCACCTGGGAAAATAATGATCCGCGTGTGCACTGGGTTGTGAGCGGAATGTGCCTGCTCGTGGGGTAAATTCCCCTTAGGAACTTCTCAGAACAATACCTAGTAGCCATTGTCACCGCCTCTCTTCCATCCGCAAACCTCTGTCACCGGACGGCATCAACAACTCGCAGCAGAGGAGGGTCAACAAGGGCTACGATGATCTGGTCCACGGTCATCCTCGGTCTCCTCGGTCTCCTCGGCCTGTACCTCGCTGACCGTCTACGGGATCTCTTCAAGCATGTCCGCGTCGCGCAGCGCTCGGGGCTTCCCTATGTCGTGTCCGTCTTCTCCCCAGGCATCGTCTCCATGGCTTTCTTCGATACGCCCTGGTTCTCCTATCTGGTCGAAAACTGGTTTCCCGCCCGACTGGCAGATGTTGTGTACGATACCCTGATCAATTATCGCTGGAGGGCCAGGGATCGACAAGCAAGACGATATGGCGATGTGTACCTGCTTGTCTTCCCGGGAGGCATCTTCTGCAGCGTCTCCGATGCGGCGGTGGTTTCCCAAATCGTCAACTCTCGGCAGAGCTTTACGAAGCCAGTCCATCAGTACGGTGAGTCCTTTCCCTCTCACTCAATTGTGGGTATGTGCTCACTCGGCTGATGCTCTTCCAGCGGTGCTGGACATGTACGGACCAAACGTCGTCACGGTGAGTGCGACACTTACCTTTGTAGTCACACATCATGCCCATGCTTATTTGAAACAGTGTGAGGATGCAGAATGGACACACCATCGTCGATACACGGCAACAACCTTCAACGAAAAGAACAATGCTCTTGTATGGGAGCAAGCTATAAAGCAGAGCCAACAGCTGATCGAGTACTGGCACGAACCACGACCGAACGAGACCAGTGACAGCTTCGTGGCGACCGACACGAGACAGGACACCCTCAAGCTCAGTCTCAACGTCCTGACTGGTGCCGGCTTCGGTGTAGATCTGCCATTCAAGCCATTGCCCCAGCATCTGCTCAAGGGCCCGGATGACATCTTCAAGGACAGCACCCCGCCCCCGGCTGGGTTCGACTTTACATTCCGGTCAGTAATGTCCTACATGAACGAGCATATCAGCACAGTTGCGATAGCCAACAACTTGTTACCCAAGTGGATCCCCAGAGGGCTGGTCCCCTTCTTCAGGCGAGACTTTGCGGCGCATCGGGACCTAGAGGTGTATCTGCAGAGGTTGGTTGACAAGACCGAGCGAGAATTGGAAGACACAGACACAGCACACCACCTGGTGCAAGGAATGCTCAATCCGCGAAAGTCTCAGGACCAACAGACTTTGACAGACCGGGAGGTTATCAGCAACCTGCATATTATCACCATTGCGGGACACGAGACCACGGCAACCACGCTACGATTCGCGTTCCTGCTCTTGGCTCTGCATCCGGACGTCCAGGAATGGATGTATGAAGGTCTGGCGGCCTCAACCAAGGGGGAGTCTTCGGACGCTGGGACCTGGGACTACGGCACTATGTTCCCTAAACTGGTTACCCCTCTATGTGTCATGGTGCGTACGGCCTCAAGCCTGTTTCTTTGCAGCGGATAGCATACTGACCTGCACCTAGCTGGAGACCATGCGTCTGTACCCGCCCGTCGTAACTGTCCCGAAGTGGACGGGCGACTCAGCAAGAAAGATCCGTTATCGTGAGGAGGATTACGTCCTGGAGCCTCGCCTGAACATAAACCTGAACGCAAGCAGTCTTCATCACTCGGAAAAGTACTGGGGAAGCGACGTCGGACTGTTCCGCCCACAGCGCTGGGACGTGCGGAATGAGGATAGCTTTCTAGCCAAGAACGCGGGCCTACCCGGTGTTTCTGCACCAGGGCTGGAGTATCCTACCATTCATAAGCCGGTCCGAGGTGCTTACATCCCGTTCAGCGATGGCATGCGCGCGTGCCTAGGGAAGAAGTTTGCGCAGGTCGAGTTTGTGGTTGCATTGGCCGTAATCTTCAAAGACTATCGAGTTGAGCTGGCAGACGATAGCAAGGAGGGAATTCAGGAGGCCGAGAGGTCATTACGAGAGTGCACTTCAATCCTGACGTTGGCTTTGAGGAGAAATATACCGCTGCGCTTCCGTAAGCGTTAGTGATGGTGCAGGGATGCTGTAATGACTAGTCCTTCTGTTTCAGAACCATCTCATTGAGAGAAACGGCGCATGACAAAGAGACGGCCGCAGGCAATGGAATTCTCTCTTGTCAGCAACGTCAAGGATAATCATTTGTACGCGGTGGATCCTTTCTTCCCGTTCCTGTTCTTTGTATTCCGTCCAAAATGGCATTGGGGAGCATGTGTTCTTTCACTAAGCAAGCTACCACCAAAGAAAAGAAACATACTACGAGAAGGGGAGGGATTGAAGCCCCACAGCTCCACTCGACCAGAGACAAACAAAACACCCTCGACATGGGCTCAGAGTGTTCTAGGCTGTGTGTTAGTCGTCCATTGCATCGTTCCCAGGTGCCATATTTCACTGTGCTTTTCCCCATCTTTCACCCAGCTAGCTTGCGCTGCCTCTCACAAATCGCCCACTCCCTCCAAGCCTTACCCTTCGAAAACGTGCAATTCCCAAGCAATAGCTCACCTCATTCAATTCTGCCCCGGCCAAAGCGATGAAAGAACACGCAGCACACTGGCAGCTTGCACTGCTAGGCGCGGAATTCTGGAACGACGTGGAGACGAGAAACCAGCCTGTCCACGACCTCATTGATACGGGTCAGTAACGCGGGTCCCTTTGCTGAGAACTGACCTATGATCTATGAAATTCTCGTTTCACGCAGCTACTAACACGCTTTGAGGATACTCTCTCTCCAGTTCATGACCAAACTCTCCATACCCGTTTCCCGTTCAACCTTGTTAGTGAGGAAAACAGCCGTGCCCGGTCACTTACTGCCGGAGCTGGAGCTGCAGCCGGAGCTGGAGCTGGAAGTGCTGGTGACAGAGCTCCTTCCCCGGACGTTGTTGACAGCAACAACACTTCCTCCAATTCTTCAGACAAGCCGCGGCGCCGTCGCCGCTACAGCATGAGCGATGTCTTTACCAGAATCACCGCATCCAATACCCCAGAACTGACCCTGACCATGGCCGGATCGCGCAAGGCCGAGCGTGCGAAGCGTTCGCGCTCCGAGAGCCGGACTCGCTCCCAGGAGCAGCAGTCACCGCAGCAGCAGCAGCAGCCTCAGCCATTTAGCCGGTCCTCCAGCACAGCGTCCAACAGGAACAACCAAAGCACCGCCTCGCTCCTCCGCTCCGCGCTCCAGCGCTTGAGCCGTAAGAGAATGGGGTCCGGCGAGGAGCAGATGCCGACGCCTGTGAACTCGGAGACTGCAGCGGCTGGAGAAGTCGGACATCGCTCCCATCCCCAACCTCAACAGCAAGCGCAGCAAGTACAGCAAGCCCAAGCCCAAGCACAAAGCCCGCCCATCGTCTTCTTCACAGCCGAGCAAGCCACCCCGACCAACCCGCTCCTAGAATTCCGCGGCGGCGCGACCTGGGCTCGATTCCCGCGGAACCGACGTTCATTGGGGATCGATGTCTACTTGCCTATCGACAAATCCCCATCTGCTACCGCCACCATCGCCGCAGCGGATTCCACAGCGCAGACCGAAGAACAGAACCACGGAGAAGACGAACACGAGCAAGAGGAAAAGCACGAGGACGAAGACGAAGAAGAGGTAGAAGAGCGCGTCGAGGTCCTGCCCGTGGAGCAACTGTTCCCGCTCATCCACTTCCGGCACCTCCGCTCCCTCAAGATCACCGGCATGGTGCAGTCGTACCAGAGGTACATCTGGCAAGCGGCGTGGCTAAACACGGGCCTCGAAGAGCTGGAGCTCAGCATGGTCTGCACCCCGCGCCTCCGCCGGTCCTTCGCCGGGAACTGGCCGTACATCAAGGGCGGATGGACGATGAATCCCACCCATTACAGTGCCCCTGTCTACTAGTGCGTTCCTCACCCCAACTGACCCCCATTCCCAGTCCCCAAGCCCCTTAACCCATCATTACCCCCCAAAACCCACTAACTGAATAATCCCCCAGCGGCACCGGCGCCGGCACCCTCCCGCGCACCATCGGCGAAGGCGAATACCTGGACAAGATCGCCCTCGAGAAGGCCAAAATCTGCGCCATGGTGCAAGGCCCCACGCGCAACCGGCTGTCGATCCGCACCCTGACGCTGACGGGCTTCGTGGTCGACGCCGACCCCTTCCTGCTCTGGTTCGACGCCACGCGGCTCAAGTGCCTGCATTTCAAGGACTACTGCGTCGACGCCGGGTTCTATCTGTGTGAGGCCATGCACCGCGTCTCCGTGCTGTATCCCCGGCTGTTACTGGTTGATGAGGAAGGCCGGGAGGCCGTCGTCGCGCGCCGGGTGAATCTGTGGAAGGAGTTGAGGGTCGTGCAGCTACGGGGTGGACGGAAGGTTGGGCAGATGGCGTACACTGGGCCGGGGTGTTTGGATAGGGAGATTCCGGAGGGGGTGGGTGGTGCTGGGCAGGAAGAGGAAGAGGAGGACGGGACCGAGGGTGCTGATGCTCCTGCTGCTGTTCCTGCTCCTGCTGCTACCGAGTAAGCGTAGAGGAACAGAAGGACTAACTTAAGCCTAGGACTTTATGTTTCAGGCAACTCACCACCTTGATTTCTTACTGAGCGAGCGGGGCGTCCTTCCTCGGGGAGTATGTTCTTCTGATCAGCTGCGTTTCTGCTCACCGTTCTCTCATCTTCAGATGATCTGACTGTTTTCTTTCTTTGTTCCTCTTTATGAATTGGTTTGGCGCAACGGAGTTCGGAAAATGGCATGGCGATGGATGCCAGAGCGGGAGAGAGAGAGATTGGTAATGTCTAATGGTGCGAATACTGGGTTTAACTGGTCTTATTGCGATAAGTTATTTGAAACGAAGAAAAAAAATATGATCAATGACTGTCAACTCTTTACACTTCTTTTCCCAAGTTGGTCATACTGTAACGGCAAGAATCCAAGGTGGAGTATGATACTTCGCAGAATAAGATATTCATATCAACCTCACTGGTACAGCATGAAACTTGGTTACAATCAATCGCTTGGTTGGATTATTTCCACGGCTCAACCCCCAATTTCGAACGACAATGATCATCATAAAACATACAGAATGTTCGTTCCTTCGCTGTCCGACGCCCCCATGGTAGCAGCATATTATCCCGGTTCATACTTCGATCCTCCGTCCACAACATTAGAACCATCCTTTCGGAAACATAAAACGATACGTTAAGTCGTAATGCCAGGCACACACGCCCAGCGTCCAGTCATATCACACCCCTCCTGTTCACACTGCCTCCCAAACCGAAAATCCCAGCGGAACTTTCCATCAACACCTGTCACTCTCCTTGAGATACATACCAAGTCCGTCGCAATTTAAGCTCCGTTATCCTCACCGATACGGATGGCGCCCTCATTGCCGATACCGTTGGACCAGAAGCCGTCCACGTTGAGGGTACTGTCGTTCATGATCAGGCCTTTGAACCCACAAGGAAAGGTGGCAAGCACTTACATTCCCGGAGCACTGTCGTGCGCAATGATCAGCCAGTATCCGATCAATCCCTGGGAGAAGATATCGTAGATGGCAAACAGGATAGTCTCCACGTCGACGTTGATCTTCAGGGCCAGAGCGCCCGCGGCGATGGTGCTGTACGCATTCCTTATCAGCACATACAATTATAAAAGGTGGACTCTCGTCAGACTTACACAGGGAACAAAACCTTCACCAGCAGAGTCACGCCGGAGATGGTTCCGAAGAACTTGCGGGTCTGGTTATCCTTGTTGCTGGCGGCGCGGGCCCCGTTCACGCTGATGTGGTACACGGTCGTCAGGTATCCGATGGCACTGATGGTGAACCAGACCCAGCGGCGCGAGGTGTGGCCGGCGAAGGTGCCCAGCAGACCCGAGCCCAGCATGACGAAGTCGGCGGCGATGGCCACCAGCAGGTGAGCCCCGGGAAGACCGGACAGCAGACTCAAGCTGATCAGGCTGAGCGGCTCGGTCAGGAACCACAGCACGTAGCGCAGCCACAGCACCTGGCGGAAGTAGTCCTGGTGCGTGTTGGGCACATGCTTGTTGTGCAGCTTGACGGTGTCGACTTTCCAGGTGATGCCGCCGCCGGTGGCGAGGGCGAGGTAGATGATGAAGGAGATGGTGGCGGAGAGGGAGACGAGAGTGTGGAAGACGCGCTTGCTCTGGTTTTTTTTTTTGGTTGAGTGTTAGTGAGTGATTCAAATGACTTTAGGGATGTCGAGATGGCTTGCGGATACTTGGGGTGGAGGCTCTTAAGGAACTTACCAGTGGTACACGAGCTCCCAGAACGTAGAACACCAGGGAAGACAGGGCCATGAGCACGGTGACGACCCTAGTCAGAGCGTATCGTTATAAGCTGAGCTAAAAGCTTCTACAGGGAAAGACTAACCATAATGTGCGTTTGCCAGTATCATGGATCTCCTGGAAAATGGGCTCATTGCCTGGGACGACGGTGGGGATGGGCGCCACAGTCGAGGTCGGAGTCACCCCCGGAAAAGTCTCCTTGAGGAAGGTCTCAATCATCGTGAAGACGTTTGGCAGCTGGCAGTCTGATGACGATGATGATGGTGTTGTTGGTGATGATGATGGAGGATGGATGGAAAGCGATAAGTGACGGTTATCGATAAGAGGATGCGGGGGATAAAAAGACAGTGAGAGGAAGGAAGGCGGAGGTTATATACGAGGAAGCAGCAGTCCAGCACCAGCCCTTTTTTTTCATCCTTCCTGAAACCATTGCAAGCAGCAGTCGTCATGCTGACCTCGCTGCTGTCGTCATGGAAGTCGAGGTTGGAAGAAGGAATCCAATCAGAGACCATCAAGACCATCGACAGGGAGGGGGAAAGGTGTCACAGAGAACCTTGGAAGTCATCTTTTAATCAGCAGCGAGCTCCGACTCTCCCACTGGTGGCTCCAAGGATGTTGCCTGATTCACGTTACCAGTCATCCATTGACTGTCAGGATTCAAGGGAATCTTTGAGGTCCATGACGTTATCCCCATCACCACCAATAAGCGCTGCAGAACACCAGCTACGCGCAACCAGGATTCCCCGCAAGACCGATCTAGAATGGTCGCTGTGACTTACATAAGGTATGGATAAAAATTTGAGTGAGATGCTAAGATTCAAGTACACAGTAACTAATAATACAATACAGGAATCCACCGCAGGAATCCGGGAATTGGTCAAGGAACTGACCACTCACACCTCTGCAGTCGCAGCTGCAGCTGCAGCGTCCAGTTCTTGCACGACTCCCTCGCAGCGATCGCACACCGTCTCTTCCGCCGCTTCACTCCCCGCAACCACATAGCGCCAGCACCGAGGACATTTACCCGCCTGCGGACTGTACACATACACCGTGCCCTTGGCTCCGCTGGGGAGCTCATATCCCTCATTGTACTGCCATGCCGCCTGCGCGATCGACTCGGGGATCGGCTCGCCATGAGCACCGAGGCTGACGGACGACACCACAAAGAGATCGGGTAACTCGGTCAGATCCCGGTGGAACACCGACCCGGGCGTCGAGTCTTCGGGAAGGACGAGGTGCACAAACGACTGAAGAGAGGAGCCCAGCTGCTTCTGGCCGCGGGCCTTCTCTTGGACCGCCTTGACCACGGAGTTGACGGCGGCCAGCTCCTGGTAGTCGGATTCGAGACCCTCGTTCTGCCATTCCGCAGCCGGGGCTGAGACAACGCGCTGCAGAGGATGCTGGCTCTGCGTCTTGATCGCCTCGGGGGTGTGCTCCCACGTCTCCTCCACAAGCATGGGGGTGATGGGCGCCAGGACTTCCTGGAGATGTTGGTAGATGTGGAACAGCGTCGTCTGCGCCGCACGCCGGCTCGCGCTGTTCTCGCCGTAGGTGTAGAGTCGATCCTTGATAGCCTCCATGTAGAAGGCCGAGAATTCCTGATTGGCCCAGCGGTTGATCGCATTCACGGCCTTGTAGAATTCAAAGTTCTGGCCGGCCTTCCGGCAGATCAAGACCATCTCAGACAGCTGCTTCAGCGCGATGCGGTCCACTTGTTGCAGCTCATCGTACGGGACACGGTGCTCGGGGCGGAAATCCGACAACGCACCCAGCAGGAGCTTGAACGTCACGCGGTATTTGTGCAGGCTGGTGTGCACCGTTTGGAGCACCTGCTTTCCGATCACTACGTCGCGAGTGTAGTCACTGCTGGCGGCCCACATGCGGAGAGCATCCGGCCCAAGGGCGTCGTACACCGGAGCCTGGTTTTCGGCCTGCTTCTTCCCCTTACCTTTTCTCGGCTTCAAGGGTGGCAAAAGCGATCCGTCCATGATCGCATGCGGCAGCATCACGTTGCCAATGGACTTGCTCATCTTGCGGCCTTCTTCATCCAAAGTGAACCCGTGGGTGATGAGGTGCTTGAAAGGCGCACGCGGGGAAGCGGTTTGTCCCGAGGCAAGCTGATGAGCGACAAAGGTGAGAAGCCCGGACTGGAACCAGCCTCGGTGCTGGTCGCTCCCTTCAAAGTACACGTCTGCCGGGCGGCCATCCTCACGGTAAGGGACATCCACTTCGGACCAGCTGGTGCCACTGTCAAACCACACATCCATCGTGTCGGTTCCTCGTCGATAGCCCGGACCAGTTGCGTCCTGAAGCGAGAGTGGAATCCACGCGTCATCGTTGGCTTCATCCGTCCACCATGCGTCAATGCCACGCTCCTCGATCACTTTCATGATATGAGTCACGCTATCCTTCGTGAGCACGGCCTCGCCAGTGCCCCGGTGATAGAGAGCAGGGATGGGAACGCCCCAGGCACGTTGACGAGAGATGCACCATTCGCTGCGGTTCTTGACGAAGTTCTCCAGGCGTTGCCGACCGGAACTCGGAACGAAGTTGACGTCGTCCAGCGCTTCCAAAGCATGGCCGCGAATGTCGGCCACGTCGGCAAACCACTGTTCCGTAGCCCGGATGATGATCGGGCGCTTCGACCTCCAGTCGTACGGATATTTGTGCTCGTAGTTATGCTGAGTGAGAAGTTGACCTTGAGATTCGACGTATTCCAGCACTGCCGCGTTACCCTCGTCGAGGACGCTTTTTCCGCGCAGCCGCTCGGGATCCACGGGCATCGCCTTGTCGGTGAATCTGCCGTGATCGTCCACGGGCGCGAAAGCGGGGATCCCACGGGAGAGACAGGCTTCGTAGTCATCCATACCGTGACCCGGAGCGCAGTGAACCAGTCCCGACCCAGAGTCGGCCGTCACAAACTCCGCCGCGATGATCGGCTGCGCCTCCGCAGCCGCTCCCTTGAACAGAGGTCGATACGTAGTCTGGTCCGCCAGCTGAGAACCGAGGATCGCCGGCACGATGACCGACAGATCCTCCTTCAGCGCGCTTTCCAAGTATTCCAAGCGCGATTGCGCGATGAGCAGGTGGCCGTGCGTCTCCGACTCGACGATCGTGTACTCGAGGGCCTCGTGGACCGCGATCGCGGCGTTCGCCGGGAGCGTCCACGGCGTCGTCGTCCAGATCACCGCGCTGACCTCCTTACCCTGGAGCAACGGATCCTGGGCGAGATGCGCTGGGATCCGCGCGAGCGGGAACTTGACCATCGCCGCGGTCGACACATGGTCATCCTTGTATTCCAATTCCGCTTCGGCCAGCGCCGTGCCCGTCGACGGGGACCAGTAGACCGGCTTGAAGCGCCGGTAAATGAGCCCCTTCTCGACCATCGCCCGAAAGATGCCCAGCTGCCGCTTCTCGAAGGCCCGGTCCATCGTCTTCCAGTGGTTGGCCCAGTCGGCCATGACCGCGAAGCTCCGGAAGCCCTTCATCTGGGCCCTGACCGTCTTGTCCGCCAGCTTGCGGGCGGCCTTGCGGATCACCGCCGCCGCGCTGACGCCATCCGCAGTCTGGAGCTCCTTCTGCGCCTCGAGGGCCTTGAGCTCGATGGGCAGCCCGTGGCAGTCCCAGCCCGGCACAAAGCGCACCCGCCGCCCCAGCCCCAGTTGTGTGCGGCAGATGATATCCTTGGTGATCTTGTTCAGCGCGTGGCCGACGTGCAGTTCGCCGTTCGCGTAGGGAGGTCCATCGTGGAGCACAAACGGCCGGTCGGCCGGGCGTTCACGCTCCTGCCAGGCGTAGAGGTCGTCGGTGCATCGGCGCAGGTATTTGGCCTGGTCGGCCGGTGTCACGCGCGCGGGGAAGGTCGACTTGGGGAGCTTGAGCGTCGACGACCAGGACCGAGCGAGCGTCCGTGGCAATTCCGCCATACTATTGTCGGGTCATATCCCGCCTTTTCGGTCAGGTTGGGGGTTGCGAGAAAAGGCTGTTGGAGGGTTTCGAGTTCGATGGGACTGCGGACTTTTGGGGAAAGCTCCGGTGCGGGTAATTTACAAATTACACATACGGAAACTTTGGTGAGTTCAACCAATCAAAGGATTTATATTAAGGTCAAGTAGGTATTGTCAAGCCTACATCAATACCGAGTAATACCCGCCCGCTGCTTCCAGCATGTTGCTAGTACCTTCCTTAGTCATGTGAAAATGGAATAAAAAGCATAGACAAGGCTCCTTTGAAACGCCAACGCCTTCATGACTCGGTCAGTACAATGTCAGGCAGCTCACCGCCCCGTTCTTCATGACCTCAAACAACAGGCCCGGAAAACCAAACAGCTCTGTGTTTCCTAGACCTCCATCATTGGCCTCCTGCCCGGTCCTCTGCCCCTTCCCGGTGCTTTCTTCCCACCCGCCTAGGAACTCGACACTGCTTTCCGGACTGTCGCCCCAGCCCCGGTTCAAGATCATGGGTCTTTGCAGGGCACGCTCCTCCGCGGCATTTGCATAGGCTCCCTTCCAGACTGAACGCAGTTGCTCCGAGATCTCTTCGTAGCGAGTCTCAGATGTGAGGGCGTCGTCGGCTGGGTTGTGGATAATCTTCCAGCGACTGCGACGGTGCCGGTTGAACGGATACGAGCCTGGCACGTTTCCATGCAAGATGATCTTGGTCACCACCAGCTGGGAAGACGGCGAAGGCGGGGTTGGATCCGGGAGGTCGGATCCAGGGAAGGCCGGGCCCGATGCGGTAGGGTACGAGATAAAGGCATCAAAGCCATGATGGAAGTAATTGAAGAAGCACTCGCTCGGAAGAGAGGATGGATCCAGCGTGGGAGCCTGGGAGGCTTCGTCATCCGAGTCGTCGGTCACGCTATTGTTAGACGAATGATCCAGGTCAGTGACATCGATCCCGCGCCCCGAAGATGGGCCCATGTGCAGAGCGTCCTCTCCAGCGCTACGGCCTGCGGCGCGATGGATGGCTATTCTGCGATCGTTCTTACGGTATATTGCATCCGGCGGTCCGAACTCGGCAATCAAGTCCTGCGGAGTGGTTTCCGACAATGTTATTTGGGCCGGCGGGGATGATCGTCGGATCGCTTCGATCTTGCCGGCTCCAAAAATCAGGAACTCCTCGATCTCATCCGGGACGACCTCCCTGCTTTTACCGACCAGCGCTGGGGAACGCGGGTACTGGGGCTGCTGGGTAAACAATTTGTTTCGAGCCTCCGGCCATGACGAGCCTTGGAAAATGGACATCGAGGTTGCGGGTAATGCAGCCGATGAAGAAAGCAATGCTACAAAGTCACACTGGTCCGACCATGCTGAGTTCTGGAGCGGAAAGGA